CCTGCAAAATAATGGATTGTATAGTTATTACAAAAAGATATAAACATTTCTTTTCACATGCATAGTTTTCCTTTCAGTAAGAAACATATTTTCATTAATGAACTTGTATGAAAACTAAAACTGCACATGTTTTCCTTTTTGTGAGCTTCTTTATTAAGAATGTAACTCACGATCAATTCCAACAATATTTAGATTTAGGCATATAGCACCTCATGCCTTATTCAAGAGTAAAAAAAGAAAGATGGTTAATATTTTTTGCAGAGCTACTATCAATTTTGTAGACTGTTTTTCTATATTGAGACAATACATATAGACTTTTTCTTTACCAAAGATAACAAATAGTTTCTTTGGAGAAGAGTCACAAAGTTTCAGTGTGATTTCTAAATTTTATGCATAAAATTAAGCAGAAACATTGACTGGTGAGTTAAGTCACATACAGGGTATTTTTGATAAGTTCAGACTAACTAAAATTAAAAAAGATCTTTCTATATGTTTTGTTACTTTATAAAAAGATAGGACTTTCATGAAAATTACACAATATATATCAGTCATGTTTCATAGATATCAGCGATTTTAAACAATAACAGATTTATTTCCAATTCAGCATTTAAATATCAGACACAGTTTAAAGTCAATTGAACAAAAAAGGAGTATGGGGATGTTATAGCTGTAGGAACTGTAGCTCTGTGCTTGAGAAAGTTCAGACAGATAAAGCAGAGAGCTAGTACAGATCCATGTATTAAAAAACATTTGATTTATGCTGCCAATTTTTTGTCACTCACATCGTCAATTCAGGCATTATTTTTTCATGTAGTTTATAATTTTTTATACGCTCTTAGAATGGTATCTGATAATTAATCATATATTTTACTCCAATTATTGATACTTTATTTACCTTTCAACAGTCTAAAACAGTCCTCTGTGGATTTGGAATGTCGGTTTAAAATATTCCCATTTTTACTTCCACTTCCACAAACGGCCCTTCTTGAACCGTTGAAAGGTAAATAAACATTTAGGAATAGGAGGTAAATGTGTGGTTAATTATCGGATATCATTAATAAAGCTGGGGGAAACATAAAATATAAGAAATAATACCTAAAGTGAGTGACAAAAATATTGGTGGCGTAAATCGAAGGTTTTTACAACACATGGATCTGTAGTTCTCTGCTTCATTTGTCCAAATTTTCTCAAGTAGAGAGCAACATTTCTGCAGCTAGGGATATTAAAGATCAAAATCGGTGAAATTTTTAATTTCAAAGTAAACTAGTGTGCAAATTTCAATATGCTTTTAATTTCAAAGTAATATTAACTTTTTGTCAAAATCAATATGCACATGCAAAGTGTCATGACATGTTGTCTAAACCATTAACATATCTTTATATTCTCAATAAAAAGTCATAAAAATTAAATTTATTTTTTATTATTCATTTTACGCTTGCAGATATTCAATTTTGATAGCAATATCATATATAGCTATTCATATTCTAATTCATTTTTAAAACAAGAAAGATATAGTTAAAAATATGCATGGATTTTACGTATATATATATATCATGCTGTAGATCTTCATAATGTGTGACTAAGTTCAAAATTTCAAAGGATTATGATGAAAAACAAGAAAGATATTGAGACTTTAGTTTCAGCCAATCAGAGCAAAGTGCACGTGCATGCGATCTTGCAAAAATTCATGAAAATCATTAGGACAAGAGTCTACAGAAAGGGAAAGAACTCTGAAGTAAATGCAGACATTGGACATTTTATTGAGTTATCTGCTCTTGATTTCTATAATCATTTTTTTCTGTTCAAGCAACAGAGTTTACTATTATAGGAACATTGCCTTTCAGTATTGAATACTTTATAAATGTAGGGAATTTCAAAAAAATTATAGATGGAAAAAATGAAGTCAGAATTCTGAATAAATATACTGCTAACACTTTCAACAGGTCAAACAAATCAAAGAATTCAAATAGCAGCTTTGAGTCTGATTGGACACACAGCCAGACAAAGTAAACTATTTGAAACACAAATTTATTCTTTGGTTTTACTGACCAGTACTTATGATGGTGTTAGAGGAAAACTTGCAGTTGGGATATGTAATCTTTTTAAATGAAATCCCACCTCCCACAAAAAGATTTTCCTATATATAGATTTCCATGTAAAACTTTTGATTTCTCATTGTGGTGCCATCCTAGCTGGGGGGGGGGGGCATGATTTGAAACAGTTAGAGGCCACAGGACCTCTGGAAGATTCTACTCGAGTTTTCAGCTTTTCTGATGCTTTGTACCAACTTTGATTAAAATTTGCCCAGAGGTTCTTATGAAGATCGAAGTTGAAGATGTACCCAATATTATCTTCAGCTGTGAAAAAGTTTACAGATGGACAGACAGCTAGATGGATAGATGGAGAGACGCTGGACAAAATGTTACCAGAAAAGCTCACTAGAGCCTTTGGCTCAGGTATGCTAACAAAACCTATTGCAAATAAGGAATGACTGCATGCCCAGTAATTTGAAGTCTGGTCTGACTTATATCAAAGGAGGAGGGGGGGGGGGGGGGGCTAAAGCAAATTAAAAGTTGTGTACCCTCAATTGTTTGGCCAGTAATATACTTGATAATAGAAAACAAAGCTAATTTATCTTGAAGTCTCCCCCCTTCATTAAAAACATCTTATGACATTCATTCTTTTAGTCATGTTAGTAGGGAAAGTTCTGTTAGGGAGTGCCATCCCCCACCCCACCCCTAAAAAAATGAAATTGCTACCTACAGGCCTGCATCTTGTCTTTAAAACTAGGTTTGACCAATGATTTTTTTTTCTGTATACTGAATGCTAAATACAACTATTGAATGTATTAATTAATTTTGTTTTCCAGAGTTTGACCACAGTGATGTAATGACTACGAGTGTACTTTCAAAATGATCTCTGGAAATAATGAAGAACAATAACACCACTCTTACATAAGCTTGACAGCATTAGACAATCTCTAAAAAAAAAATTATACTCAAACAATTTTTAACCCCAAGGAAACAATTATTTTTAATGCATCATATGCATATTGGAAAATAGGTTTGGAAAAAAACAAGAGGCCCATGGGCCACATTGCTCACCTGAGCACTGTGGCTAGGAAAAAGTAGAAATTGGTTTATTATTTAATAATTTAAATCCAAAAGTAGTCCCAATACCAATCCTGGCTTCGCTATTCTTGATAAGATGATTTTTAAAGAATTTTCCTATATATGTCTATGAAAAACTTTGGTCGGCCATTGTGGCCCCGCCCTACCCCCGGGGTTATGATTTGAACAAACTTGAATCTACACTACCTGAGGATGCTTTCATATAAATATGATCAATTAGGGCTTTGTGATTCTTGAGAAGAAGATTTTTAAAGAAATTCCCTATATATTTCTATGTAAAACTTTGGTCGGCCATTGTGGCCCCGCCCTACACCCGGGGGTCATGATTTGAACAAACTTGAATCTACACTACCTGAGGATGCTTTCATATAAATATGACCAATTATGGCTTTGTTATTCTTGAGAAGAAGATTTTTAAAGAAATTTCCTATATATTTCTATGTAAAACTTTGGTCGGCCATTGTGGCCCCGCCCTACCCCCGGGGGTCATGATTTGAACAAATTTGAATCTACACTACCTGAGGATGCTTTCATATAAATATGACCAATTATGGCTTTGTTATTCTTGAGAAGAAGATTTTTAAAGAAATTTCCTATATATTTCTATGTAAAACTTTGGTAAGCCATTGTGGCCCCGCCCTACCCCCGGGGGTCATGATTTGAACAAACTTGAATCTACACTATCTGAGGATGCTTGCATATAAATATGATCAATAATGGCTGTGTGATTCTTGAGAAGAAGATTTTTAAAGAATTTTCCTATATATTTCTATGTAAAACTTTGGTCGGCCATTGTGGCCCCGCCCTACCCCCGGGGGTCATGATTTGAACAAACTTGAATCTACACTACCTGAGGATGTTTCCCCATAAGTTTCATCTTTCCTGGCTCAGTGGTTCTTGAGAAGAAAATTTTTAAAACATACCATCAAATTTTCATTAATTCCCAATTATCTCCCCTTGAATGAGGGCCTGGCCATTCATTTGAACAAACTTGAATCCCCTTCACCCACGGATGCTTTGTGGCAAGTTTGGTTGAAATCGGCCCAGCGGTTCTTGAGAAGAAGTCGAAAATGTGAAAAGTTTACAACGACGACGACGACAACGACAACAACGACGACGACGACAGACAACGGACAAATTGTGATCAGAAAAGCTCACTTGAGCCTTTGGCTCAAGCTAAAAATCAGTTTTGACATTGAAATTTTCTGGGATTTTTTTTTCACCTACCTACGAACTCAAACTTCCATCCTGAGTTAGGAGAGGGCAAACAAAAATTATTTTAAAGTTGGCCCAAATGCCAAAATTAACATCCTCAACTTGTGTCATGCTAGTTTTCTTTTCAAGATGTATCCCAAATTGACTAATATGAGTTCTTCAAACCAGTTTCAATATAATGTAGCATTGACTTATCATATAATTATATTTTTAATGAATAAACCATATAATAAATAGGCCTAGGTGTGCAATATCTATAGACCATGCAAGCGCATGCTGGCTTCAAAGTATGAGGAAATTCGGACGGCAGGTGCACGTTATCCAACAATTTTGTTTACAGGGGTGAAACTAGGAAGTTAAACATTTACAAAGAAAAATAATGAATGTTTTGTCTAAAAAAATATATATTATTACTTATGAAATGGGCTCTCTTGTTTTGTATCAAAGGTCTCAAATGCTTGGACTGCACACAGGAAAACAGCACGGCGGATAAGTTCAGTAACTAGCATTCAGCTTCCGGTTTCAATTTCTATTTTCATGTTAGGTTTCTAGGCTATTTTTATGATTCATATAATAATTTGTCTGGGTTTTAAAAGAAAAGAAATAAACAACTAACGGGAAATCCGAATAATTGACGTAAACAAGAAATTTCAATATATTCTTCTTAGAATTTTTGCACACTGAAATTTGAGGAGTGGAAAACAAGTGCCGTGTGACAAGATCCTGAAGTGTGTGTTACGTGAATCAGATCACCTTATCTGCCATGAGAATCAACCAAACGATAAGGTGAAAGGAGAGACATGGGCGAAATCACGGGTAATTGATAAATATACGAATGTTATATAATTAGTCCTTTTTTTAATGATTCTGAGGAAAAAATGTGAAATATCATATGACATGCCAATATTATTTTCAGCAATTTTCATATTAGATAAACAACTTGTTTTTATGTATCTGATTGATATATGTTCAGAATTATGAATATGTTTATTGAATAAACCTACATACTGAACTTAATTGAAGGAAAGGTTTTTTTAATCATGTACAGTCGTTGTAGGATTTATAAATGTTAATTCTTTTTGAAAAATTTATCGATGTGTAAAATCTTGACATTTTACTCACAAACACATATAAATGTGCAAATATTTAACTCTTGGCATTTTACTTCGCACTTTTATGTTAAGTTTGTGAGTATAATGTTAAGAGTTTACACACTGATAAATTTTTCAAAAAGAACGATTAATTCATATAATATTCTACCTGGAAAAATCTATCTCGTAAAAGCAAGATATTTATTATCTTGTGAAAACGAGAAATTATCGTGTGAAAACGTGATATTATCTTATGAAAATGACCTATTGACATCGTGGAAATGAAAGGTCATATGTGGAATTTTGGTACTTTGCATGAGCTGACAGTAAAGCTGCATGTTTTTCAAAGAATATTGCATGACTGCATGTGCATGAATAAAGTTTAACATGTTTAAGGATGTTTTCTTTTTGTTTTAGGACCCAGGAAAGAACATTTTTAATTCAATTAATACATGTCTATTGATAATAATTGATACAAGCAGATATTTTGCAGATATGACCTTTAAGTATTTATCATTACAAATATAAATTGTTGTAGCTGCCACTTATACATTTTGCTGAAAAATTACACAATAAAATAGCTGCAGAACTGTAGCTCTTCAAAAAAATGTAAAATTGACAGACCAGAGAGCTACATGTGAGTGCCACCCACTGTAAAAACTGTTTATTTGTTGCGCACAAAAAAGTACTGTTTCTCCATTTATTTCTCCATTTTGAGATTCCCATTTTAATATTTGAATGAAATATGATAGGATATTTGTAAATGTAAATAATACAAAAAGTAAAATATCATTTTCAAGATAAAATGAAGTTTTTACAAGATAATGTCTCGTTTTCACAAGATAATATGTTGTTTTAGAGATAAATTTTTCCTGGTATCTTAAAAAAAATAATTATGTGTCCTAAATATATGTACTACCGTATAATTCCAATTTCGAATTTTTAAAATTATTAATATTCCCATCTCATGGAGTCTGTTTTATTTTTAAATTTCAAATTTCCAATATTCATAATTTAGCTAAAACAGACCAGAAATTATAAGTGCTTTCATTGTTTTTACAATAGCCTAGAAGCTAGGTCAAGAAAGATTAATTAAGTTCTGATTGAAAAATTTATCAATGTGTAAAAATTTTTCTCATCCAATCAAAACACAGGAAATCCATAATTATATTGAAGATTTAGCTAAAACAGACCAGAAATTATAAGTGCTTTCATTGTTTTTACAATAGCCTAGAAGCTAATCAAAACAAAAATTTATCAATGTGTAAAAATTTTTCTCATCCAATCAAAACACAGGAAATCCATAATTATATTGAAGATTGGAATTATAAAGTACTAAAACCTTGATACCAATAAATGGATCAATCGATTCATTCATGATAACTGCAGTACTGTATATCTGCAGTGAAAATGAATAATATTTGTCAAATTATATTCTATAGGTGGGGAGTGTGTGTTGGAGGAGGGGGGCAATTTAATAAAGTTGATTAAACAGTTGTGGTTGCCTAATATTTCACCATACTATTTTATTTTGCCCTGCAAAAGAGGAGTACCACAGCTATCATGAAACAGTTTACATATGTACTGCTTGGTTGTTGTTTTTCTGTTGAGATTGGTCAATTAATCATATTTGCAAATCTTTATTCTCATTTCATGATTTGCAGATTAGTTTTATATAAAAGTATGCGAAATTACATCAATTGAGATACATTCTTTATATTCCAGATGATTCCAATGACTACCTAACATGTGGAAAATGTTTGTCAGAATTCCCCCTGAAGAATATTGTCACATTTATTGAGCACAAGAAGAAAGACTGCGATGTCATCTCTTATGAAGAAACAGAACCAGGTGAGAAAAAAAAAATTACACTGAAAATTTAGCCTATTGTTAACATTGATATAAAATTCATACACAGTTGATTGTAAGACCATAGAAAAGTTTAGATTCTTTCCAATAAATTGTGAAGCAATTTTCTGAATAAAAAACCAAAATCATGAAAAATTTCAGTATATTTAAAAATTATAGTTGAATGTCAGTTTCTCAAATGCTGTGTCACAAATACCATGGCTATGTCAACAGGATTTAGAAGTCTCAACCATTCAGATATTATAGCATATAACCCACAGGCACATAGGGGTATGGACCCCCTCCCAAAGACATTTGGGGTGTGGACTCACCCCCTTTCCATTTTTTTCTTTCTAAATATGGGACCGAATCACCTTGGCATACCCAATTACCTCCAATGTTTCAAATCTTTAGTATCTCAAAGATTTTTCTCTGTCCCATCAAGTTCAAGATACCAAGATTTGACTGTAGATTCATTAGCCCCTTTTGATTGTAATGAAGAAGAAAGAGTATTAAACAGGGAAAAGTGGCTCACATGATTTTCATGCATTTGCCTTTTTGCATGATATTCATATGAAACCTGGATTCTTTTTTCACATGAATATCATGCGAATTTCATTTTGCATGATATTTGTGCAAATTTCATCTAAAAATTCTTATTGCATTATATTTTCATGATCATATCATGCGTGGTGCTTTTTGTCTCCTTCTCAGAGCTACTGTCTCATCAGAATTTTTTTCTCACAACAGGTTTGCTGTGTTCAACTTGTTCTAAAGGATTCATGACTGCTGTAGGACTTCTGAAGCATGCAAAAATCTCCCACAATCTACAGCTTTTCTTGGAAAATGGAGTGTACAAGAATGGAATCCTTTCATCTCAATCAAGGGATGATAACGTTTTGGATTTTAATGACGACGTCCCAGTAAATCTAGTTACAAGGTCCAGTGAAGCATCACTGGACCGTATAGAGATAAACTCTGTTGAAGGGAAGCCCCTCCTACCTAGCCAAGGAGACACACAAGAAATATCAGAATGCTGCCTTACTGGGCTCTGTACAACTATTGATAATCCTCCTGGAATTAATTTATCTCCAAACAGTTCACAAAATGAATCTCAGACACTAACTAGAGAGAACTCTGCACAACTCAGTTTTGAAAATTCCCCACCAGGTGTTATGGTTAATCCAGTCCAGTTTAGTTCAAACAGTTATAGTAACACTGACACAAGAAATCCTGAATCCTCTTACTCCGAGAGCTGTAGTGATAGTTTAGTGGAGGAGGCAGGCTCGGAGGGCAGAGAAAACATGTCAGAAGAGGTGGAGCAGAGGGATGACGCTTGTTGCTCCAGTCAGAAATGTGGAGTCACAGTCATTCCCGGGACCCACGAGAGTCTAAAAAAGTGCTGCTATGCTGTGGCTCCTAAGAAGCGTAAAAGACACATGGAGACCAAGCACATGCCGTCTTACTGGCGGACCAGATTTAGCAGGAGGCGGATGATGAGCGGGAGGGATGCTTCCTTAAGGCGGCCTGCCAGTAGAAAACAAGGCACAATCTACATTGATCTGAAGCCAGAAAGTGGGGTGGTCACTGCAACACACTCTGAAAATGAGTCTGCTACAGATACTAGGACCTCAAACTTTGACAACAATTCTGGAGAAAGTTTAGGGTTCCATGTAACAGGTATGACAAGGGACTCGACATCCAAGGCAAATTCCCAGAAACCTAATCGAGGCAGTTTCTTCATTAAGCCAAGACAAGTGTTCTCTATACCCATATCTTACACAATCCCTGCTCAGAGTCTGGATACAAACAAGATGGCTAGATATGAAACCAAAACAGTCTCCTCTGAAGACCTTGTACATTCCAGTGATAGGTTGACACAAAAGGACCAGAACTCTTCCATATCATCAACTCAGAGTGATTATCTCCCTTCTAACTCAGGCATTGCTTCCACTTCAGTGACATCATCAGAATCACAGATTTTTGGAATAGACCTTCCATCCATTATCTCCCAGGCCACAAGACAATTTAATCTGGTTCCCAGCTCCTCCGATTATTGTGATATGAGTGAAAAAGACTCACAGTACCATGAGGATGGTGACGGAAAACTAGGACGAAAGAGAAGATACCCGACCACCAAGCCGTATAAGTGTGACCAGTGTGATAATGCCTTCAATCAGAGAATCCACCTTAAGAAACACATGAGTAAACATACAGGTAAGAACTGTTCTTTGTTACTGATTGTTCAGGTGATATTAAGCACTGCTTTCATCCACTAAATGTATTGTCGCTGAACTTGTAATTTTGTCACCGATTTTAGGGATCAAGCCTTTTAAGTGTCAACAGTGTGATTATTCAACAGTTGAGAGGAGCCACCTTAAAGTTCACATCAGGATTCATACAGGTAAAATCAGTGATAAAAGGTGATTTTTGGGAGATTTAATGCAGAATTTTTGTTGATATAACTGATAAGGTGGATCAATTTTTTTCAATCCTTTTTTTTTTGTTCCTCACGTTTAAACATACCATGTTTATTTCATAATTGTTTCATTTAAGGAGAGAAGCCTTTCAAATGCACATTTTGTGAATATGCAACAGCACAAAACAGTACTCTAAAAATTCACCTTAAACGCCACCACGGTCGCCAAGGATCTGGTGACAAAGATGGAGAGCATTCCCCTAAAGCTCCCCAGTCTGCAGCCAATCAGAGCAGTGTTACCATGGAAATGAATCAAGATGGCTGCATTACAAGTGATTCAAGTAAAGAATCAGTGCAAAAATCATAGACCACAAACCTTTCTGAGGAAAGGCAATAAATGGACCACCATTATCCATAAATTATTGTTTGTTACTCAGAGAAGGAGAGATTTTATCAGTAACTTATTATTGTAGCTTATTGTTTAGATACGAGTATTTTTAAATCATAATATATTGTTTTCTCAAATACAGTTGCATTTCTTAAATCTTTGTGTAAAGAGAGATATGTTATCAGTTTAATGCTGTGATTTGATTCTGTTGAATGCTCTAAATAACATCATTCAAAATGTGATATTGAAACGAATGTTAAATGAATATTTATGACCTCATTCTACAGGAGCAGGGACTTTATGTGTCTGTGTTCAAAAAAATTTTGATGCATTTTTCTCAGCAACTTCAATTTGTGGATGCTTGAAATTTTAGTTTACTCTCTGTGTATGCATGCCATAAGGTGGGATTCATTTTTGTATGAATCTAATGCCAATATACCATTTTTCCATGTGTCTTGTCATACCAAATTCACAGGGATGTAACTAGCTCATATTGTACAATCCAGTGTTCTATTTTTGTTTTAATAAATAACTATTAATAAGATTAGATTATGTACTTGTATCTCAATCATACTGTGTCATTTTTCTGTAAAGTATAAGATGTGCATTGATTGAAAATAGGTTTTTTCTAAACTATAATTAGGAGTATGTATTATGTACAGTAATAAAATACCTGGCACCTGTAAAGAGGTAGAGCCATGTTGGGCCTTATTTGGCCCTGAGAATTTCTGAAATTTCAAAACCACCCAGTTTAGGTTGCAAATGCAGTATTTATCACTTGGACTGTTGGAAAACACGTATTTATTAATTGTGACGTAATTTCACATTTAGTCAATGCATTATGACGTCATAAAATGCGTCATTTTCCTCATATTCTGTAAATTCCTTTGAAACTGTTTTTTCAATATTTCATATAGGTTGATTATGCCAATACATAATGAAAGACCTATATCTGATTGTTAGTTTTTGGATCGTGGGCTGTGCTCATACTTTTATTCTTTGTGATACATTATGTTTCAATAATTTCAAAAAGCCTGTTTTTACCTTTCATTGTAGAACACCTGTAAATATATGAAAATGGAAAGAGGGTTATAGTTAATTAATTGATATAAGTACAGGGCCATTTTATGTACAAGATGGCTCATGCTCTTTACCACAATTAGTTGAATGCCTCTGACCACCTGAGAGATCTTTGTTCATGCTTCACCAGGTACTTTAGAACTTCAATTCATAACCAAGATAATGTGCATGAAATAATTTTTAAACATTATTTTTTAATTTTTCAAACATCATCTGTGATAGAAATTTTTAACAATTGTCCAAAGTATAGCATTCCAGGAAGATTTTTAAAACAATCTTTAAGTTGGTCTCACATAGACTTTCTACTGAAAATACTGGACCAACATAATATTTTTGACTTGTGTGAAGTAGGATTTTTAATTTTTATTTTCCTTAATCTTTTAGAAGACTCTGCTATAATCAAGGCAATCAAGGCATTGTAATAAAGTTCTTGTTTAGTTAATGTTGCAGATTAACCTCCCAGGCCAAGAAATGTTAAGATATAAGCTGGGATGTTAGCCTAAGCTTTAATATTTCAAACAACATTTTGAGACTAAGGAGTTCATGATGCATCTTTGACAACAGCAAGAATTTTATATTTCTATTCTACTAACAGCTCTAAGATATGGCTGATCATTTCCTCTATTAGACACAATAAACACAAGAGGGTCAATTTGTTAACTAGTGGAATGCAGATGATTTGAGCTTTATTTTTTATCAAATAACCTTTAATTATGTACAAATTTGTTACATATATATACTGATTAGTTCGTATGAATGTAAAATAATAAAATCAATCTACATGTATTTTAGTCTATTTTATTGGACTATCAATCCCCGAGTATAGATGTGGTGGGAGGTCCTTGGAACAGCCCCATTTAGCTTTATCAACTTCTTCAGACAATACACAGTATTTAGACTGCAAAAGACTACACATCGATATGGTATAAATCTTATGTATTAGATTCTAATGTCTTATTTATTTCAACTGTACAGTTTTGATATGTGTTTCAGATCTGATAATTTTTTAATGATGTATGTGATTTATTGGAGAATATAATGTCTGCAGCATATCTTTGATCTTGGCAATAGCTGTATTGAAATTTTTAATTAACACCTATCAAGAGTTTCATTTACACATGTTTATTGAATTATAGCATTTTGTTAAAAGTTGAGTTCATGAAAAATTATCATTTATGTCATTGGCTGCCATCATTAATTGTATACATTGTGTGTTTTTATTGTATTGCAGTTATGATTTTTCTTTGTTGATAGGAATATTTTGTATTAATTAAACCATTGTTGTATTTTTCAAGTTCATATTGAAATATTTGTGTGTTGGTGAGGAAGTATTAAAAATGCTGTTTATCTGTATCATTTATTATTCATTTACATATGATGAAAGACAAGATTACAGCTTTAATTTCCAGGAGTACAGAGAGTGCATACACATTGAAATCAATTAAGTGATCTGATATCACAATATTATAAATCCCACAATGTCAAGGGCACCATCTTTACTTCTTTCCAGTGCATCACTGTTGGCATGGTGATTGAGTTTCCTGTTGGCATGGTGATGATGAGTCACCGTTGGCATGGTGATGATTAATCCTCGTCCACTTGTACAGAGTTCATTATGGCAATCATTTCCTGCTCTCGATTTTGTAGACGACAAAAGACACAGATTGTGTTGTCTCGGAAACTGTCCATTTGAGAAATGGAAAATGGTTTTCCACAGTTTGAACACTGAAAATAAACCAGTTTTCAAAACTATGGAAGACTATGAAATTATATGTTCAAAAGGAATACTTACTCAATTTTATATAGTGAAAATCTATACAACTTTTTGAAACACTGAGTTAGATGTGCATGTTTCACAATTACAAGGCAGTATTTATTTAATGTTTTATTTTCACTTTTATGGAATAGCAGAGAATTTACCTTCATAATACTTAGTCCCATGGCTTTCTTTCTTTCCAAGACAACAGGAATTTTCTCAGTATCCTTCACATTCCACATACGGACTGTCTTATCCTGTATAGAATACAAACAAATTTTAGGGTTATATTCTCCTAAAAAATCTTTGTTTTTGCTCAGCCTGAGCCAATTAATTTAAGCTCTGTTAAGCTTTTCTGGTCAAAGCATCTCTGTCAGTGAGCCTAAGAATTGAATAGAAGTGTCATAGATATAAAGACGTAATTACCTTGGAGGCTGACAGAATGTTGTTTTGGTCAGTACTGAAGCAGACATCTTGTACCCAGTCTTCATGACCCTGAAATTGAAAAAAAAATAAAGATTCAATCCTGTGGCTTACAGGTGTGTTCAAGTGTTGGAGTATATAGGTTAAAAGTTTGTGTAATTTAAGTGTTAATTTAGTTATGTAACTATAAAAGTATCCCCAGTTATAAGCAAATGAATGTAACTATGAAAATAATTCCATTTATTGTTATTGACACTGATAATAGGTATTTATTTAATCATTTATTGACCTGTACTTAAATGAGTGGACAGGAAGCAGTGCATGAATTTCAAATCACTGAGTAAAATTTAATGCCATTGTGCACCTCTTATTTTACACATTTAATGATATACAATTTTTGGGTTTCCTATAGCAAATATCTTATCCACAACCCCTCCTATATCGCTAAATAAAATATTATAAGGATACTTTCACAGAATCTTTCTACTTTAATAATGTCATAATGTGCATCTCCTATTTAAATTTTGATCAGGCACATATTTGCATGGGGTTGCCCATTGCAAAACATTATTTGCAGTCTTTTGCTTACATCATATGCTAATATAATAGGTGTATTTTAAGTTTGAGGGAGCAATAGATATTTTTGTTATATTCTGACAAAAGCAGATACAAGAAAAGCAACAAAGGGAAATAACTTATTAACAATTTCACATTCTGTCAGACTATGTAACAAATAGTAGGTGATATTACCTGTAGTTGAAGTTTCTGCATCTCATTATCAACATCCCAGACCACCAAAGTGTTGTCATAGGAACCAGATACCAGCATCAGACCTAACAACAACAAAAATAGTACAATTAAAAACCATTAATACACTTTCAATAAACGATCATTTTATAAATTTGCCAGTTAAAAACCATTAATTAATACACTTTCAATCAAGGATCATTTTATGAATATGCTATATAATTTTTTTTTTACCTTTAAACTAAAAATTTCAAAGAATTCTTCATTGAACAATCAAATGTTTAAATTTATAGCTTAGTAAATAAATTTTGTAAGGCAAAAAATTCAGTCCTTCATACCTACTAAACACTATCATCTCTACCAAACTTACAACAACTAACTTCCCCTTACTTACCATCTCTATCTCTACTGAACTGACAACTAACTGTCCCCTTACTTACCATCTCTACTGAACTGACAACTAACTGTTCTCTCACTTACCATCTCTACTGAACTGACAACTAACTGTTCTCTCACTTACCATCTCTACTGAACTGACAACTAACTGTTCTCTCACTTACCATCTCTACTGAACTGACAACAACTAACTGTCCCCTCACTTACCATCTCTACTGAACTGACAACAACTAACTGTCCCCTCACTTACCATCTCTACTGAACTGACAACAACTAACTGTCCCCTCACTTACCATCTCTACTGAACTGACAACTAACTGTTCCCTCACTTACAATCTCTACTGAACTGATAACAACTAACTGTTCTCTCACTTACGATCTCTACTGAACTGATAACAACTAACTGTTCTCTCACTTACCATCTCTACTGAACTGACAACAACTAACTGTTCTCTCACTTACCATCTCTACTGAACTGACAACAACTAACTGTTCTCTCACTTACCATCTCTACTGAACTGACAACAATTAGATGTTCACTTACCATCTCTACTGAATTGACAGCAGCTCACTGTTCCCTCATGGGATCCCTGGAGAGAACCTGGACCCTGAGACCTGAAACAAGGAAAATTCTTAATTGTCAAAAACAAATAAAAATTCCATAAACAGTGAAACATTCAAGAAGTAATTATTCCACTTTGTTTTGAAACAACTTGTTAACCTATTTATATACATAAGAAATTATTTTATCCTGTATCAAAGACAAAGTTTTTAATATTAATTAGTACAGTATTAACAGTTTAAGCATGTCAACATTAATGATACAATAGTAAAATATTCAGGTCTGACCTGTAGGCTCCAGTGGCCACATCCCAAATCTTAATGGTTTTATCCCAAGAGGCTGTGGCAAATTTCCTCTCATCAAATGAGATGTCACAATCAGCAATAATGTTGATATGCCCTCTAAAATAGGTATCATTTTTAATCAATGATAGACTATGAGACCATTTGAATCAACATAATAAATTTTCTTTGTATCAACAATTATTTTTGAAAGAAAACAGTTTTTTATATATACATATGGTATATTAATTAAAAAAAAGATTATAAAAATATTTGAATTTCAAAAGATTTTTTTACTTTATATTATTCTCAGATTATTCAACATACTCTAACTGTATTGTAACTTTTTGTGTTCTCAGATCATAAAACTTAGAGGTTCTATCCATTGACGTTGTGATAACTTTGTCATTTCCTGGTGCAAAAATACAGCTTGTTATGGTGCTATCATGATGATCTATAATAAAAATAAAATGTCATATATACTGGTACATGTAATTAATGGGGGTTATGTGTGGCAGTCAGCCAGTTTTGATCACCGGTGGCCAAATAGCTCAGTTGGTAGCTAGAGCACCTGACTGGATTTTCAGGGGGCCCAGGTTCAAATCCCTGTCTGGTCCACTGCATTTTCTCCTCTCCCATTACATTTGGAGCCGTGCCATGCCCTGGAATTGCAGGCGAGAGGCATGCCAGGGATGAGCCTGGGTTGGGATCTTTGAAGGGCCAAAGACCTTTAAGGAGGGAGGAATGTGGCGCTCAGCCGGGCTCGATCGCCGATGGCCAGATAGCTCAGTTGGTAGAGCACCTGACCGGAGTTTCAGGGGGCCCGGGTTCGAATCCCAGTCTGGTCCGCTGCATTTTCTCCTCTCCCGTTACATATGCAATGGACCAGAATTGATGCAGATTTGAACCTGGACCCCGAATCACTTGTCAGGTGTTCTGAATAGACCTATCTGGCCAACAGTGATTCATCCTGTCTGTCTTATACATTCCTCCCACATGTCTTACACTTTGTCCCTGAAGATACAAACCCAGTCTCTACCCTGGCAGGTCTTTCACCTGTCATTTTTAGGTCATAGCACCAAATATAATGGCAAGGGAGAAAAATATGACAGGCCAGACCAGAAATTAAACATGAGCCACCTGTAAATCACTTGTACAGTGCTCTTCCAATTGAGCTATATTATGCTACTGGTGATCAAACCTGCCTGAACACCACATTTCTCCTTCCTTTAAGGTCATTGCCCCCAAACACACAATCCATTAGGCTCTTCCCTAGAAATTTCTTTACCTGTCACTGCACCAAAATTAACTCCCAAGAAAGAAAATGTAGCAAATCAGACCTGAGGAATAATTAAAACCTAGTCTCTCTACATCTCTAGTCCAGTGCTGTAACAACTGAGCTATCTTCCACCAATTAATGAACCTGTCTGACCACCACACACTCTTTGTAGGTCAGGTATTTGTGCAAAAGGATTCCTTAATTAATCCACAGTAAAGTATTTTCCTATCGAATCAGAATGATTGATGATTTTAACTTACCCTCAAGATATTTGATGAGTTCTCCAGAGTTTGCATCCCAGATTTTTAGTGTGTTGTCTAAATCTGATCCAGAGATTACTAATTTTCCATCATGTGAAAACTTGCAGCAAGTAACAATTCCCCCATGTCTCCCAGTCCACTGCAATAATTACAACAAGAGACTTGCATTTTTATGTTCTGGTATGTTATAAATGAATAAGAGAGACATAACACAGTATTACAATTATACTGTTCCTACCAAGATGTTTCCAGATTCTATGTCCCACACCTGGACTTTCTTATCCCAGCCTGAGCTCACAAACCTGTCAACAAACATTGATCTTGATAAAATACTTTTCAATGTTCCGTGATGACTGAAAAGATTGTTATGATCTTGAAGAGATGATAAAAATCATTACAATAACCTGCGACTATTGTCATTGATACTTGTCTCTGAGATAGCCCCCTCATGTCCTCCAGTGTAATGATGTTTTAACTCTCCTGAGTCAATGTCCCAAATACGGGCTGTCTTATCTGAGGACCCAGCAAGGATTTTTGTGTCATTGTCAATGTATGTACAGGAATTAACAGCATCTGTGTGACCTCGAAAAACTCTTATCTTTACCTACAAAATTTTAATTAATGTGAAATTTTCATTGTTTTCAATGCTGTACTCCTTGTGAGAGTACACAAACAGATATGCCTGAATTATATTTCTTACTACATATACAATATGTCCAAGAACAGACCCCAATACTTTGACCTGCCCCTAGATCTACAGTGTAGCAATATCATAATCGACTGTATAATAGGAAATTCAATCCTAGGATTTTAGTATTTTTCAATAAAAGTAATTTAAAACTTTTGAATAATAAATGTCGAGCTTGAAAGAAGTCAAACAATTTCAATATCTAATCAATGCATCAAAAAGCAAGAGAATATGAATCCTCTCTCACTTGTGCCAGATCTTCATGTTCCCATGTCGCTGCACTTATTCGTCCGTCGTTGCTTTCAGATTTAGTTTCAATTGCCAAATAATCGTTGTCTTCACTCAGAGTTGTCATTTTCACATTTCTGATTAATTACAAACTATTTTTCCAGTGTTTATTATCGAGCCATTTCGGACTAAAGCTAAATACAAGCGTCCCTGGTTTCCGAAGCAAGTGCTACCGTAAAGAGGATGCTATCGTAAGTCGTAAAAATAAACACTTGCACAAAATGAAAGAATAAATGTGTATACTCATTTTTTCTCTTTTTTAAATTCTATTTTGTTGATTTATCGATTCTTTTTATTTAATCAAGAATGGTTTGATTCCTTTAAATAAGAGATTTTACGACAACCGAAAGTACCATTATTGTCCAAGATGGAGGAGTCAGAAGTTCACACAGGTATTATTTGCTTTCTTGTATTTTAAAGATGAACTTGATCATATCAGCAATTTGAATCTTACTTTTTAATTCCGTGGTGAATGATTTTCGTCAATATTCCTGTGGAGTTCACTTAAATGAAACGGAAACATGTTCTTCACCTTTCCTTTCGTCATTAGCTTAGTCCATCTGTGCATATTTATTTCACTTTTAAAGAATTAGACAGCTTTATAAGTGACTAGACTGTTTGATTTTTAGTGTATTTTTGTGTTGTTACATGAAAGATAGCCTTTGTAAACAAAGTCTTGCTGGATAAAATGGTGAAAATCTATTCATCCTCCATACTGTTACTTTCTACAACAGAGACATAAAGAAATGTTAATTTTTCTCCTATATATACAAGTAAATTTAGTGTCTTAATATGTGAGATGGAGGAACTCTAAGGATGATTGCAGTAAGCTTTGTAACTAATGCATTTTATTCAAATAATTCTCTGTCAATCAGCTTAGCAGAGTTGTGGAAAACTTTTTCACTACTGCTTCCTAAGCAAAATCACTTAATAACACATTTTTTAAATAAATCATGTTAATAAAGATCAAAATTCTCTGACTCTAATTTTGCCATAAATAACTGCTTTTATTTTTTGAACATAATTTAAAAAAAAAACATTTATGCATTTTGGAATTATATTAACCTAGAAAATTGGTCTAGAAATTGCAAAAATTCTTTGCATCAATAATAAAGATATTAACACAATCGGTAAAAAAAAAACGAAAATCCGGGACAGTCGGGAGTACTAGATTTACTGCTTTCCCCACCTGTGCTTGAATTCCTTCTGTTGAAATTTTTCATATTTTAAATCAGCTCCTCTTTAATTTTTAGCTCTACTGGTCAGATAATCGTTTTTCAAAATGCTATTCCTCCTACAGATTAACTTGTAATGATTAATTCTTTTCGGTTTTTGATTTCGATGAACGATAGTAATATGACATACATCGATATTTTTTTGTAATCTGTAATCGAAGAGATTTTTACAATTACTTGTAAATGCATGTAATGTTTATCGATTACAGCTGTAAAATTTCCAATGTAATATATATTATCACAGGTGCTATTGACCTGTTTGCTACTGTGAAACTTGGAGGCAATCCGGTAGGTAAAATGGCCCCCCCCCCTCAAAGCAATTTGGTAAAATATTTTATCCAATTTCTTCCACGAATACGACATCAAATGAAGTATCAACACAGTCAAACAGGTCAATGTTGTGATGTTGTCTGTGGCTTCAGAACGAGTTTTAGCACATAAATTATATATGACATGACACATTTGTGATATAATATATCCTATCCATTTTTCTGAGAAAATTTGCTTAAATAAACATTTTAAAATGTTTTATTATTGTAAATTACTATCACCTCTTTAAAACAACATGCAAAAAATAGTATCTTCTCATATATAAATTAACTTGATTTTTATATACAATTTGTAGGCACACAAGTAGATTACATTAAGATACATTATTCTGTATTCGTTTTAGGTAATTCTTGTTACGAAAAAATTTGTTATTCAAAATGCTATAGTTTAAATCTGATTTCACAACACCAGTATGATACATAATTCTGTGTAAGATTATTTTGCCATTGTTACTAAAAATAGAATTTAAAAAGAAATACTTTCAAAATGCTACTCCTCCTACAGTTTTGGTCTGATTTTATTATAACTTGGCACACAAGTAGACTACACTAACTAAAGATACATAATTCTGTATATTGGTTTTTGATTTCAAAGAACGGTGTTGCCATTGTCACTAAAAATAGAAATTTTTGTGAAAAACATTCAAAATTCTACTCTCCTACAGTTTTGGTCTGATTTCAATATAACTTGGCACACAAGTTCATAAGATACATAATTCTGTGATTTTGTCATTATTCTATTTATTGCTTTTGTAAAGTTTTATATCCCAATTGCTACTTTTCTCTTTCTTTATTATAAGTACAAACCAGTAGAGCTTCAATCTCGACAGAGGCTTCTGGTTTCTTTAATACGTTTTCTACCTAATTCTGTCCCAGTTGTAAATTTAATAGGTCATGTCGCACTTTCATTTACAGCCTCGAGAGAAAATGTATTACGCAATCGCATATAAGGTATGATAATTAAGATGGGAAATGCACAGCTGATAAATGGAAAAACAAAAAAAAATTAACCAAAAAAAGGGGCCGGTCTATATCACCCTTTTTTTGTGTATGTACAGGATCTTACAAAATAATCTGTATACTTTTATTTTGTGATATATACATCAGGCATTGGGTACTAATTGAATAATCATAATTGATTGTAATGATTACTTCAAGTAATTGACAGTAATCTGATATTTTCAATTACAATAGCATCAATGATTTTATTTTAAAATGATCTTGATATGACAAACCTCTATATCACCCTTGTGTATGTACAGGAAGTATACGATATATACATCAAGACTGGTAAGTATTTTCACTGATATCAGTAGCATCAATGATTTTATTTTAAAATGTATCTTGATATGACTCAATTCTGGTTTGCAGGATGTTTTAGTTTCCTCCTCGTCTTTATTACAGAAGGATGTATATTTTAAAATTTATTTTTCAAAAAAATTGAACTAACAATTCATATGAAGAAATAAAAAAAATTATATTTGCAGTATCATATTTACCTAGAATATATATTTCCCTAAGGAAATATAAGTGCTTGTTATTTTAAGGCATCCCAAACATAGATATCTTAAATGCTATTTCTAAGAAATTTGAAATCCCAATCACTCTTCTCAGTCCATTTGATTTTGAGATAAAAAGGTTTAACTGTACGTTTGAGAAAAAAGCATAAGCATATTATCAAGAATATTTGCCCCCATTCTCCCTATACACTCATTTTGGCAAATTTAAAACAGAGTGAGATTTAAGAATAGGGTACAATTTCTTCAAACAAATACAAAAAATGCAGTTGGGCAAATTTAAAATGGGAAAATTGTTTGAAAGGGTGAAAATAACTCTTTATATTGTACATGTGCAGTTAAACTTAATCTCTAACACCAGTATCTTGAATACCATGAACATGATGAATATGCTGAAGAGTATTGGCAAACCAGAAGAAGGGATGTCATTAAATCATGTATATTATAATTTTCAGAGAGGAAGTCATTTGACATACCTGAGCATTGTGGGCCATATAACATCTGATTTTGTTCATTTTCAGCTTGGTGCAGTGGCTTAAATACAGTAGAAAAGAATATTGTGAATTATGTAAACACAGATTTGCCTTCACCCCAAGTAAGTATCCATTTGGAAATTCTTAGGACAACAATTTCTAAATATCATCTGTGCATCCAGGATGATCTTGATAAACTTTTAATTTAATTCCCTTACACTGAAATCTTACATTTTCATTGGTTTAATGTGAAGCCTGACTGCCAGCTGTTTTTCAATGCTTTGCAGGTGAAAATTTTTATGTGGTAATATGTCCAATATCAAATCATTTTATTATTTTTTTATCCCCATTTCTTGATCTATTTTTATTTCAGTATATTCCCCTGATATGCCAAAGAGATTGCCAATTAAGGACATATTTGGGGGATTACTGTCCAGTATTGGGAGGGCCGTGAGGTACTGGTTTCACTACACACTGGTGGCCTTCGCCTGGCTCGGAGTTGTTCCCCTTACTGCATGTAAGTAAAGAAAAAGACATACATTGTAAGACAAAGAAAGTTCACTTTTATTATAAGTAAAATTTTATTATGTTTATGAATATTTGACTTTAATGTGATATTTCACTGCTTCAGAAGAATTTAATAATAAACTAATGTCTATTACTAATTTACTGTATATATCTCTTGTGAATTATTTGTAAGGCCCTTTTTATATTAATGTGTAAATTTTCTCTTTTTTAGGTCGTATATACAGATGTTTATTCACAGGATCTGTCAGTTCATTGCTAACCTTACCTCTAGATATGTTATCCACGTAAGTACTACATTTTGAGTACTATATACTTATATAGACAAAACACAGGCTTTTGGATCGCTTGAAAAAAAAAATTGTGTGAAAAAAAAAATAAAGGTACTGAACTCTTACACCGGTAACCAAATTGCGCTAATAAAATATTTTTTATTCACATGCTCTAAAATTCTACTTTCTATTTAAATTTATTCATATATAAACATTCTTCATTTCTACCAGAAGCTCATTCCGAAATTCCATATTTTTCTCGAGATATTCTGAAATCAATCTCAAAAATGACCTACTTTCTTTTACTCGACATTAGCTTGGGCCCCTAGCCATTCGCATGTAAACAGACGGTGTTTGAAATGCAGCGAAGAGTTGCATAGTATTTGCAAGATCTTTCAACATTTTAAAGTTGATTTCTTACTCCGAATTGTAAGGTTAAGTCTGTATTAATTCCTTTCGCGAAAAATTAACTTGAAAACGTTTGCATCAAACTACACCGCCATGTTGATTATGAATGTAAAAGAAGCTATGGTCGAACGATTTTTTCCCGGAATGCATTAAATACCTTTCGATTTTCAAAACAACTAGACCGCTAAAATGTTGTTTGTGACTTAGTAAGATCATATGATCAAATTAGAGAAAATCCATGTAAAGCTCGAATGCAAATGAGCAAATATCATTGAGTTTACTGAATAAACTTCGGAGGAAAATTTTCACTACACACGTTCCCGCTTAAAAATTAGTGTAGCCCTCTGCGAAGGCCCAAGCTGATGTCGAGTAAAAAAAATTAAGGTCAACTTTTAATTGATTTCAGTAATATTTTATTAGTATAAGGAATTACAGAATGAAATTTAGTAGTAATGAAAAGTGTTTATATATAAATAGATATGGATAAAAAGTAAAATTGTAAATCATCTGATTTAAAAGAATTTTATTGGCTTTTTTAGGTACCCTATATACAGAGTTTATACCTTTATTTTTTTTTTTTCAACACCTCAATTTTTTTTCTAAGCAATCTAAAGGCCTGTGAGATATAACTATCAGATGCATATATATTTTTAATCTCACCTGGTTATACTTATAGGGTTAGCTGATAGAAAACCATTGTTTAATCTCATTTTACTCACAAAAGCTTTATACATTAAGTTCTTGTTAATTTAAATTTGCTAACCCAATTTATTGCAAATAAATGCATTGCCTTTGAATTACAAATAAATGAAATGATTTTGCAATGCATAAAATAAAGTCATACGAATGTGATTTACAGTATAAAGAGTCAAAAATTGAGGAATGTATCCCCTTAATTGCCTTGTTTGTATGTTGTTTCAGTGAGAACTTAGCCTCAGATTGTTTCCATGGGTGTTTTGTGGTGACATGTACACTGTGTGCTTTCATCAGCCTGGTTTGGCTCAGAGAGCAGATTTTACACGGAGGAGGCCCTGACTGGCTGGAACAGGACAATCAACGAAGAAATAACAATAGGGTACGTAAAAAACAATACGTAAATAACAACAGGGTAATTAACAAAATAGCTATAACAAAAAAGTTATAGCCCATAGACAACCTAAACATGCTAAAATAACAGTGTAAACGAGGACTGTGCATATACATATACTGATGTATCGTTTTTTCTAACCTTTACTCAAATTCAATTCAGGATGCATCAAAGCAAGAGATGATGAGTGAATTTCTTAAGGTTCATAGGTTAAGGCATCTTTGTACATGTTACTCTAAGATAAAGACAATGAGAGCTCACAGGAAAAAAAACATGGTACACATAATAAGTACATGTAACAATTTTATCTTCTACAGAACCCTCTGGATGGGGTTGTCCTCAATGACCTTGTTGGATTAGGAGGAGGTGGAGCTAGAGCACCTGTAGCCAATCAGAATGAGGCTAACAATGAAGGAGGAGGAGAAGGGGGAGGAGATGTAGGTCAGGCTGCAGCCAATGAGGAGGAGCAAGAGGAAGATGGGGCTGAAGGAGTGGATGGGGCAAACAATGGAAATAATGGGGCACAAGGTAGGGCAAATACAGTAAAAATATTGAAAGAGGTGGAGAATCTTTTTGATAGATACACTTGCAAGCCAAATCTTTTTTAAGAGTATGGCTACAGTTTATCATAATAATGTCTTGCATCCTCTAGTAATGCATATTCAAATTTAGTTTCATTGAGCACAATTGGAATCCCAAAATATGTATTTCCTTTCCTTGGTAAAACACTATAAAATCATCTATTTTTGTGGTTTCAAAGTTTAAAACAAAAATTGGTTCAAGGGATTTTATTTTGTGGGTGGAGGATTGACTTTTTACTCTGTATAAAATTTTATCATTTCATGGGGGACATGATAAGATGGGGTTTCTTCATACCATAAAATCATCAAAAACTAAAACGGATGAAAACAGTGATTTCACAGCATGTGAATTTTTGATACAGTGTATTGATTATACAATGTAGCTAATTTATTTCATAGATGACAATAATTGGAATCCTATTGAATGGGATCGGGCAGCTGAGGAATTGACATGGGAGCGACTTCTGGGATTAGACGGCTCACTTGTTTTTCTGGTAACATCATTTTCTTATACTGCAAAGTATACTTTACTTTTTAACATGGATCTGAAAATTAGTTTATTATTTGCTGTATGGTGTCTATTTGCAGGAACATGTTTTCTGGGTGGTGTCTTTGAATACTTTATTTATACTAGTGTTTGGTGAGTAGATATTAAATCAAAGGGAAGTCATTAAACTAAAACAATTTTAATACCTTACAAGATGTACATGATTTTAATCTTTTCCACATCTTCAATAGATATTTGAAAAAAAAACAACATTTAATTGATTCTTTGAAAACCGTGACAACATTGGTACATGTTAATAACAACTGTATATATCTTTTATTTACTGGTACACTTATTTATAGCTTTTTGTCCCTACCACATTGGACACTTCACCATGGTTGGAATGAAGATGGATGACATGGTAAGTACTTTGTGTCAGTGACAGTGTACACCGGTAGGTACATACTAATGGACTGCTTTGTCTCACCTAACTTCTTTATTACAGGTGGAATCCACCCACTTTGAGGGCCTTCTGACTACCATGATTGGATACATTGTCATCTCAGCTTCTCTTATTGTTCTCTACATGATGTGTTCCATAGCCAAACTTAGAAAGTAAGCTGTGTAAATTATAATCTGAAATTCAAAGTAAGCATTTACATTTTCAAAACATAATTTAAAAAGTTTCTACTATTTTATGACTAAAAAATGTCACATAAATATATGAAACTCAAGTTGTATTTCTGATTGCACAGGTTCCGCAGAGTGCTTGGCCTTTGTTATGTGGTTGTCAAAGTGATGCTTCTAGTTGTTATAGAAGTGGGCGTGTTTCCTGTCATTTGTGGCTGGTGGCTGGATATTTGTTCCTTGGTAAGAATGAAAATAAATGTAATATGTTAGATATTACCACAGCTATATACATTTAGAAGATATTACAGTGGATCCCGCTTAATCCAATAGTAAATTTGTCAGCCTTCTGTTATCAATATAGCCGAATATTCGAATAGCCGATTGTTCCATTTCAAGTCCAAACAACGATGTATAGAGCTACATGTATTGACAATACATCGTAGCAAATTTCAAACTTGCACTTTCGTTTCGTTTGATTACTTTACCTGGCGATTCTCCTAAATTAAGATGTTAAACTTACTTATTAATTTAATGTGATAACATTTTTCTAATAAAATGACTTTTACAAAAGATGTTTTTTAAGAGTTATTGCCATCTTTAATCAGCACATATTAACATTCCTTCTTCGATGGCCGCCATTTTGGAAATGGAAGTAGACTAAATGCCTGACTTTATTCTGTAATTTATTTTTCCCCGGATAAATGGTACAGTAATATTAAACAAAAATATTAAATTGTTTTGTTTTATTTGTTTCTTTAATATGGTTATGTATTTAATACTGTTTGTGACAATTCTCAAGTCAATAGTCCTGTAACTATGATGCATTTCAGTGTCCCAGCAAATTGTCATACACAAGCTAATACGTTCAGTAATTGATATCTAACTTTGGAAAAAATTGCAAACAATTATCATAATTATCGAGTACATCACTGAAAAGTAATTTAAACCCAAGCTGATCATCATAACTGTATCAAAACATATCAATCTAGTGTGCCAATTATTAACACAGGTAAGGTGACTGCGTGTGTTCAGCTGTAACTGATCCCCTCATTATCGTACTCAAGGTGTCAGACAGTGTAAACGAAGGCTAGGGAAGTTAGAGGTGTGAATAAGGTCACAATTTTGAAAAAATACTACGATGGTCAAATTTTTGTATCAGATAAAACGAAATTCTGCTATTTTCTTATCAGAATATCATTCTGATTATTAATTATTATTATTGATAAATTATTAATAAATATATAAGAAGTGGTTTTGTACTCTGATATTATATTGGAATAGCCGAAATATTCGTTTAACCGCTATCTGATTAAGTGGAAGCCACTGTACCATCATTTGTTGAGAATTAAAGGAACAGAACTGTTATGTTAATATTTCTTTGTTTTTTGCAGTCGATGTTTGATGCTACCTTGAAGGACAGGAAGAACAGCTTCCATGCAGCCCCGGGGACCTCCATGTTTATCCACTGGTTGGTGGGGATGGTGTATGTTTTCTATTTTGCCTCCTTCATTCTTCTCCTGAGGGAGGTCCTCAGACCAGGGGTCCTATGGTTCCTCAGAAACCTGAATGACCCAGAGTTCAATCCCATACAGGAGGTAGGAAATCAACACTGTCCTCATAACTCAGAGTAAATAGTACAATATATATGTAAGAACCAGATGGAACATACACACATTCCTCATTGGTTATAAAGTTAGACTTTGAGTTGCAAAGCTCTTTGTCATTTTATCTGTTAAGGACAGGGTTAGAGCAAATACTTCTGCTCCTATTTTTTTTTTGGCTCACAAGTAAATATAAATCTTAGTTTATAATTTAAAAAAACATTTTCCATTCAGCTTTTCTATGTTTATTAATGTTGAATGATTGACTCATGAAAGAGTAAAGAAATTCTTAGAATGGTATTTGATTATCTTCTTGTAGATGATACACCTACCAGTGTACAGGCATGCCAGGAGATTTTTGGCCTCTGTTGTAAGTACTCTTGTGAGCAGTGAATATTTTATTCCATGTCAAGCCTTTTATTCCAGCAATCTGTCTACACACCCATTACCGGTATTTTTTGTTTTTAGGTGATCTTTGGAAGCACAGTTCTATTAATGTTATGGTTGCCTGCCCGAGTCATTAGGAAAGTCTTAACATCATTTCTACCTTACCATGTCATGTTGTCAAGGTACACACTGATACATTATTTGATTCAGTTGGTCAATATTTCCTGGTAGACTGAATTTTAAAGTACCTGTCTGGACAACTATTGTTGATAACTTCTAATAAGGAGTTTACAGAGTATCTGTTTTGTTTCAGTGATGCCCCTGTCAGTGAACTCTCCCTAGAGCTCCTTCTGTTACAAGTAGTGCTGCCTGCCTTACTGGAGCAGGGACACACGCGGATGTGGCTGAAGGGGTTGATACGGGGCTGGACTGTGGGCGTGGCTTATTTTCTGGGTTTGAGGTCATACCTGTTAGGAGATGCACCACTACATGATGGGGTAATATGATTGTGCTATCTTCACTGAAATAAAAAAAATGAATTTCACTGTAAAAGGAGAAGCATAGACTTGCATTTTTTTTTTTACTTCAGTTATTTAATATAATTGTGGAGCAAGTATACTGTGGTTTGGTAAAGTGTATATTGTTAAAGTATGCAAGAATATTGCTATATAGAGACTTTCACATATGCTGTAAACTGTTTCCATTTATGCGGAGTGATACTGACTGCTTATAACATCACCTATTAATAAGTATTAATGATATTTATTTGTAACATTTTAGGACAATGTGGTTGAGGGTGAACCAGCTGTCCAGGCCCAGCCTGCGGCACCCAATAACCCTGCCCCACCCCCTGCAGGTGGGGGACTGAGAGCCGCCCATGTCGCCATGTTACAGGGTGGGGGACCTACAGGATTCCAGTCTTATAAAAGACCACCACTTTTCCCACTCAGAGTAAGATTTTTGAAAAAATTACAATTGATATTAAGAATATGCCTCATGGGAGGTTATGATTGCCTTTATTTTTGCAATCCACTACTGTAGATATTTAAAATCTTGAGGAACAAATGATGCCACTTTTCTAGATTCTCCATTGTTATTAATAAACCATGCTTTATTACTTTAGGTTGTGCTCCTTGTCCTCTGTTTATGTTTCACTTTGTTTGCTATGAGTTTGGTTTCCTTAGTATTGCCAGGTCAGTATACCATATGTTACTATGTGTAAGATTGGAATTAACTATTCATTACTTTAATGAGTACTTTGTTGTTTGAATGTTTTGCTCATTGCTTATGATATATATTTCTATGACAGTATTTGTGGGTCGTAAGCTGATGTCCCTCTGGATGGGAGAAGCCAAGATCCACGAGCTTTACACGGCCGCCTGTGGTCTGTATGTCTGTTGGGTGGTGTTGAGGATAGGGACAGTTTTATATAATTGGATCCCCCAGGGCACCTCAGTTATTCTCAACAAGGTCAAAGAGTGGGTCTTCCTGGTATGTTTTTACCAAGTTCATGTACATATGTGCCAAACAGTGTCCTCTTTAAAAATGAAAGAAAGAGAAAATTCATGTACATATACAACTACTGGAATTATAAAAAGATTTTTCTGAGAAGGGTTGAACACCCATTAATTTTTCTTTCAGTGGGATGGGGGATATTTTTATTTGTGCCAGAAAGATTGAATATTGTATCTTTGTTTTATTTAGGCTTCTAAATGTATTCTTGTGGCTTTCCTGTTGATTGGAATGGTGCCATTATTACTGGGTCTATTGTTTGAACTGGTAGTGGTAGCACCACTTCGAGTACCTCTCGACCAAACTCCCATATTTTTTCCATGGCAGGTAAGAATGATTGTTGTCTTTAAAATATGTACAAATTGCTTGTTATACATGTTTTCTATCTTAAAGACAAACATAAATTTAATCCTGCTTTTTGCAAGCATTCTTTGATATTTTTTCTCCACATTATATAGGACTGGGCACTTGGTGTACTTCATGCCAAAATAGTGACTGCTGTGACAATGATGGGGCCTCAGTGGTGGCTCAAAAGGGTCATAGAACAGGTAAGTGGTGCTCACATCTAATGTCGAGCAAGATAACATTCACTAGGAGTTTATGATTATAAATGCATGTTTATACGTTCTGTTTCAGGTGTATAATGATGGCATTCGTAACATGAACCTTCGTTTTATCCTGACAAAGTTATGTGCCCCTGTTATTGGGGTGCTAGGAATGTCAATATCTGTTCCGTATGTGGTAGCCAGGAGTATAGTCCCTTTCTTAGGTAGGATAGCTCTTTGCTTTAAACAGTATGTCTGCATTGTAAAGTTTTTACACCATTTTCATGTACCATGTGTTTGATTACTTTCATTAATTAATTCAACAATGTAACAAATAAGGATTTATTCTGAGATCTTCTGGGAGAAAAAAATCTGTTTTTAATATTTCAATTTTTTTTAAATTTAGGTTTTCCATTTGAAGTTGAAAATTTGGTTTTAAGAAGAATTTACCCATTCCTTCTTGCCTGCATAATTGGTGTACTGATCCTTATATTCCAAATTCGCCAATTTAAAAGACTTTATGAGCACATCAAAAATGACAAGTAAGATTTGTTTTAGCTTGTTATAGTCATCCTGAGACATGATATTAAACAGTATGTGTTTATGATTCTATGAGAACTACAAAGGTCCAAGTTGTTAAATTTTTCACCACAAGGAGCTGCAATTCTAAATTATTGAAACTGGGGAATTTTACTTCATGGCTTGTTAAAATTTCATTTTTATGTGACTCAGGCTAATGTTGTGGCCTGTGGGTCTCTTGTTATTGTTTGATCATACATCTGTTATATGTATTTGTATATTTGTAGATATCTGGTGGGGCAGAGACTAGTCAACTATGAACCACACACTACTGCCAATGTGGTGCCACAGATGCCATCATCTTAAGTTCACCTACTTGTATCTGACAGTTAAAGACAGTGAAAAACTGATGGACGGTAACCATTACTGATAAAATGTCAGTTTGTTTTTCATGTTGGAGGGAGTGGTATGCAGAATCACCAGCTTATGTTAAATGTTTTTAGTGATTACAAACCCTTTCTTTCAGTGATATACATGTATGTAATTTATGTTGCTGTTTCACACACAGAAGTGCTGAATTATTTTTTTGTGATTTACTTGAACCTCCTTCAGATTATTTTTGATAATTGCCTACCTTAGTCAAGGCAGAAGTCAATTTTTCTGATGGATGGTAGGGTGCAATCATGTACTGGGGTACTGAATTGATGCAGTTGGCTGTTTATTCTATTTAGTACCGTTTTAGGAAATTATTGCTAAATTAAGAAATTGATCAACATATAATGTACTAATTACTAAAATTAATATTCAGAAATACATTTATGCTCATTCATATAAATGATGTATCTAAATAAATGTTATATATATTTAAAAGCCACAAAAATGCATTTCATTGAGAATTTTTGTTGTGAAGATAACTTTTTTCGGACACACGTGTTTCACGTCAGCATTATGGTCCTTACGACTGTTGACGGTAAATGTCTAAGGATAATCTGTACTAGATTATTCTGTTTCAGTATTCTGGTACATGTTTTCAATGACTTACCAATGATACATTTTCTTATAGTTTACAGATAAAATTTGTGTACATGCTTGTTATAAGGTGTTCAGTGTTTTCAGAGTGTGTGTATTTGAGATTTGTAAGATTTGCAGAAGTATGTTTGAACTATGATGAAAACTTGAGAATTTTTATGTGAATGTGAGATGTGAATGTGTGAGATCATGTGTTCCATTTATGTGATGAATGAGGTGTCTACTTGATGACATCATCAGTTTTTGTGATGATGTCACAATAATCTGAGGTGATCTCAGGCTTGTTAATTTTGTATTGTTGACTGTCATTGTGTGGTGTTTCTTCAGTTATTATTAAGTCTCTCCTGAAAGTGTTATTGATTTTTCTCAAGGTTAAATGAATATATATATATGTTCTTTAACTTGGTTTTCTTTTTTTAGTAATTTAAACACTTCAAATTTAACATGTGAGTGTTTTAAATTATTCAACTGAGAAAATACATGTAACCATTATAAATCATGTACAGTGTAGGTGCAAGTTTAAAAACTGTAATATTTGATTTTTTTTAAGCTGGACCAAAAATTATTTAAGTACATGTAGTTACTTTATTAATTGAAGTATGTATTGTTATTATTTAAGATAGACAGAAATGCCTAACAGTATTTATATACATTTACTCAGAAAAATGCAATGTACATTCAAATTTAGGTTTGACATATTTATTTTTTAAGAAGGCAGTAACATTAATGAGACATTGTAAATTGAAAACAAAATGAAAAGAGATAAAATGTTCATGTATATGTACTTGAGCATAGTGTATTAATTACTCTGGACATATAAATATCAATGTTTGAAGCACTATCTCAATGTATTTAACGTCTAGCCCTCTGAAATAATGAAGCAGATGGTTGTTTATATCTATGACATCTCTGGCTGATTGGCTCACCTGAGCTGAAAGCTTGAGTGAGCTTTTCTGATCACATGGTGTCTGGCATCTGTCTGTTCATATGTCTGTAAATTTTTCACATTTTTTAACTTCTCAAGAACCACAATGCCAATTTTACCAAAGTTGGTACAAAGCATCCCTGGGTAAAGGGAATTCTAAATTGTTAACATAAAAGACCAAGCCTCCTTCCAAGGGGAAATTATCAAGAAAAGGCAAAAAAAGGGTGGGACAGGAAAAAAACCTTCTTGAGAATTACTTAGACCAGAAAAGATAAAACTTGTGGAAGCTTTCTGGGCTTATATAGAATGTACATTATACATATCACAATCCCCATGTGATCAGGGCCATAGTAGGGAATACATGGGGAAAACTCCTTGAAATTCATTGAAAAATCCATGATGAACTATATTTAAGTGAAAGCATCTTCTGACAGTGTAGGTCTATAAATGTTAAAATCAGGGCCCCTTATGTATAGGATGGGGCCACAAAAGGCAATCAAAATACAAAGGAATACATGTATCTTGGGGGGGAAGTCTGACACAGAACATGGCAACTGACTCAGGTGAGCATTGTGGTCCATAGGCCTCTTTTTGATTTCCTGCCAAGCTTTTTATATTGTTAACATTTTTTGAGCTAGAGTTTGTATGCTTGCATTAGAGATAATGTAGATGCTATAAGACATTCCCTTTGTTAATTGTATAAATTCTTAGCAGTAGTGAGACAAACTAATGCAAAGATACCTGTAATGTGTTTTTCAAAATTTGGGGAGGGTTTCAATCTTTATTGTGTGTTTACCAGTAACTTGATTGAAGTTGTGCCAAATACTGCATAGTCTTATTACAGAACTTAATTTGTTTCACCAGCTTCTGTTAAAAAGTATGAGAATCTTTTCTCACTTGTTCAGTACATGTAACATTAATACAATTTAATTTAATCTTTAAGGAATTGTCATCCATCATCTTAACATTTGGCATTTCCCTTAGTGATTTTAAGTATACCTTGTTTCTACAAAGTAAAAGTGGAAAGTTTTTGTGTAATAACGATGAATTAAAAAAAGTCAAATCTCTACAGCTGTTTTGTGGTTTAATTTTACAAAAATGTGTAAGGATGTAAACATTGATAATATTGATGTAAAAACGTCCAGATATAGAGATGTTAAATGCAGGTATAAGTGCAGTGATGGCAATGACATGAAGTAATATGCTCAATCATTATGACACCATTATGCTATCACACCAAATCATTTCATTGTACCATTGACTAAAGGGCTGATAATTTTATAGCAAAAGAAAATAGAATTATGTTGCCATATATCGATTATAATTGTTAGTGCCAAAATTTTTTTTAAAAAAATGAAAATTCATTTAAAGCCTCCATCATTGTCAAGAATGTTTAAAAAGCAACTTGGGTTCTTTTGATAAGCATGTTTTTATTATATCCCCTTAAATTCTAGGACATTGATGATATATAAGTAGTTGCATTCATGATTCGGTAGATATATACTCAAACTTGGTTGGACATACAATTTAACATAAAAAAAACTTCGAAATAACCGAGAGTTGGATGTAAATTTAGTAAAGAATTTTGTTGATATGTAAAAAAGCTTTTTTTACATATCTCAAGTACTTATTTATAAACCACGACATATGTGTGTAAATTTAGTAAAGAATTTTGTTGGAGCTTTCAACTCAAGTACTTCGACATATTCGCGGAATTCAAGATAGCGAAGTTCACTATATATTTATAATTTTATATGGATTTCAATTAAATATTTTTTTTTTGGGGGGGGGGGGGGGGGGGGGGAGTTCAGATCAACTTCAACCAATATCAGACAAGGAATTTTTTGCCCCCCCCCCCAACACAGACATGGGTCATGATAATTCCAAAAGGGCTTCTACCACTTTTTAGCAATAAACATCTGCAAGAATTTTTATTTTACAATCTTGGAGGATTTCGAGGTCCGCCCCTTTCGCCTTTCGACGTGTCGGGAAAGTGAAAGTAGAACTGGAGTTACCGATCGTGAATTCTCAACCAATAGGATTTGTCGTTTCTCCAACAATGTAAAGGTTTGTACCTTCATCGATCCATTAACAACCCAAAATAGTAAGTTTTTTTTAAAAAGAATTGTGTGAATTTGATTAAGTTAAGTAAAAAACAATTCTAAGGAGCGTTTTGCGAGGATATGACTCCCCTTTTCTGGTCAATTGTGGCCAGGGTTGTGTCAAAGCTTCCGTCCATGTCACAGGTGCTAATGTCACGGCTACATGAACTGCTGACTGTAAAGTCCAGCGTGGCTATTCCGGGTCGCTCTTATCTGTAAGAGGTGTAACATACCTGATTTGATATGGGAATATACATGTAGTTGTGATTTAACAGTAAAAAAAAAAAATGGGTAAAATTATTTTGTTTAAGTGTTTTGTAAATCTTTGAATCTATGATACATTCTTAAATTTTGACTGTTGAGTGCCTAAGCCCTTTATGATCCTCTTTCTATCTTTCTTTTTTTTCTATGTGATTTTTAAAATTATTATACATATAATGTTGTATTTAATATTTTTTCTTATTTCAGGGAAATGTAACAGAATAAACAATTCAGAACCTGTCCTCCCATCCTTGGGTATTAACCCATTGCCATGCCAACCCCAGATTATATGATCCCAGCGGTTCTTCTGGAACCCTTTAGTGGAATAACAATGCCGAACGTTATAGAAATCATCAGCATTGGCTGCCAGGGGGCCATGATATTTGGTGGAGTAATTCCTTTCATACCACAGTACTTAGACATAAAGAAGTCAGGAAATGCTGACGGATTCTCCACATTTGTTTGCCTTAACCTTCTCATTGCCAACATTCTCCGAATTCTGTTTTGGTTAGTTTTATGTTTTTCTTTTAAATGAAAAGATTAAGATATAGGATTGTTACAACTATTACATGTTGCATGTGTTGCACAGTGGTTAGAGCGTCTGGCACCTCTAGAGCCATGTAAGTACCGGTACAAAGATGATCCTTGTGTCGCAGGTTCAAATTCGACAGTGGAATGTAGAGACTGGTCCTTCGGATGAGACCAAAACTTAGGTCCTGTGACGCAATAGGTGCTGGTGCAATAAAGATCCCTTACTGCTCAATGGCGGAAAGTGCTGAGTATAGGACAAAACTTGCAGCTCTCCACCAGCAAGTGGTGGTGTCTCCATTTGAATAAAAAATTCTTGAGAGGGATGTTAACAACATAGAAACAAACAACTACTGTTACTTTTACAGTACATAGTAGTGTACACCCAGTTCCTGTCTTTCTGACCCATAACTTTTTTAACAGAGCTGCTTATATTTGAACTGATTTTTTTAGTTTACTGGTAATTTCTTCATTTTTCAAAAGAATTTCTACTATGGACTTAGATAAAAATTAAGAATCTCATCCTATGAAGTGGCAGAACATTTTTAGAGATGGATGAACAATAGAAAACAGAATTCATAATTTAAGGTTGAAATTTAGCTCATCTGAACCAAAGGGTCATGAGCTTTTCTGAAATTCATTGTGTCATCACTGTTGTCAGAGCTAGATGGCAGCATCATTGTTATATTCTTTTCACATTTTCAATTCTTCACAAAAACCACTGGGCCAATTTTAACCAATCTTGACATAAAATCATCCACAGCATATATTTGTACAGAATTCAAGTTTTTCTTGTTGAAGAATCACCTCCTCTTTCAAGAGAAGATAATTTAAAATTGGTAAAAGATTAACAGATCTTTTAAAAGTCTTTTCAACAATAACTGGGCCAGAAAGATTAAACTTTTTATAAAGTTTCATTACACATGTTACATAGTTAAGATTCAAGTTTCTACCAACCATGTCCCCCAAGGCTGGGTTGGGTCCACAGTGTCAGTATGCACTTAGAGTTTTTCATAGAAATATGGAATACCCGGTAAATCTTTACAAATCTTCTCACTCAAAAACACATTAGATATTGTATTAAAATGAAAGAATTTCCTGGAGTTTATTCAGATTATATCACCAAGGGGAAATTTTACATAAAAATTTATTGGAAAATAGACTGCTGATAGAGATTAACACGACCATTAGTGACCCAGGTTAGCATTGTGGCCCATGGGTTTGTTTAATTTTATACAATTGCTTATTATGGAATCATTTACAGGTTTGGTCGACATTTTGAGCTGCCTTTACTAGCTCAGAGCATCATCATGGTGTTCACTATGTTGGCTTTGACCGAGCTGTGTGTCCGAGTCAAACACAAGGGAGAGCTCATAGCTTCTAAAGAACACAAGTTCACCGGTAAGTTCCCTGTTGTAATTCGACCAAAGAATGATTTTCCTTCTATAGAATTAACTCAACAAAACACAATTGGTTTATTTTTAATGCAGGTTTAATATGACAAGCTAAACATACCATTATTTAGTTAGTCAGACTGTTCTTTGATAATTTCTAGTCTTGATGATTACTTTTTGGGTGTAAATATTTTAAGTATATCCTGTTTGGTTTGTTGTGATGCCCTCTTTTCCACAATCCAGATTGATTTCCCACAACCAAAACATCATATCTTCTTTATTCTCAATATGAAAATTTCAGTTTCAAATATGATTTTTATTAATTCATTACAAAAAAAAAAATTTAAATATTGTCAAAATTTGTTCAGATTCATTTTCTGCTCATCCAAATAATGGTGAAGTTGGTCAACGGTTAAATCGTTCTGTTGTCCCTGTGAGAAAATTTGTTGGTAGGTAGCATTTACATGTGTTACTGCTTGCTCAAGATTATATTCCGCAGTCTCTTGCATATGTTTCAGTGCAGAATGGATTGCATAATATTTTTATACTAACAAAACATTTTAAATTTGTTAAAACGTTTAATAACGGTTGCTTTCTCTGTTGTTCTTACATTTATGTTCAGTTGAATATTGATGTTGACATTTTTTATTTCAATCAGTATCTATGTGACTTGTTTCAACAAAAGTTCACAATGTGATACATGTATAGGTATTATGGAATGACCAAATATTACCAATTTTCAACAGTGCATGTTTAATTACTGTATTAAAACAGAGGTAAATCACTTTTTATTCCAGAGGACTTTATTTTTTCGTATAATTACGCTAAACAGTCCCTTCACAAAAATTTCATTTTTCGTGACGGTGTACAATTCTACTATAAATTAGAGATTCTAAAAAGCAATAACCATACTTTGTGAAAATTTTGTTTTGCTTATACTGTGAAATCACAGGTTTTCCTGGAGGTTAAATTTTCATTGTTTTCAAGGTATGATGAGATCTACAAATTTATGTCCACCATGAAATGCAATTTTTCATATATATTACTACTGAACAATTCTTCAACCAGGAAGTCAAATCCCCATGAACCAATGCATTTTCCTCAAACCACGAAAATTTGACCCCTCGAAAATATGTGATTTCACAGTAAGTTATTTTAAAGTAAACCTATATAAAAGAAACAATTTTTAACAATCTCAAGAAAATAAGTTGTCGTGATAATTTAATGATCTGCAGTATCTTGTTGATTTTCAGTTACAAGATACGAGGGTTGTTCGAAAAGTTCGTGGACGATGTCAATCTTCGTTATATTACTCACTAGAAATTTAAACTAAGCACAATACAATATGTAAAAATAATTGTTTTGTTGATGTGTGAAGTTTCATACCATTCGATTTAACAGAAATCAATTTACTTCATGTTAAAATCGACATGTTTTGTACCCGCGGAGCACACTTAACGACATGTAACGTCAAAACATAGCGTCAAGAATGTCTAAAAATAATATCCCTTTACATTTCATACAGTATAATCCAATACTTACTCATTGAATCCTTGTTCTAATACTTGACATTTATTTTTTGAGAATTGCTCTCGTTGTTTCATTTCCTTTCTGAAAGTTTTAATTTATTTTATCACATTCTGCTTTCACAGGATACGCAACTCTGAAGCGTCCATGTCTTTCCTTGACGTTTCAACTTTTAAAAGTTTTTGTTCATACTTTTACAGTTAAATCGTATTTTCACAGATTGTTCTCACCCGATACATAGTCTCTGTCACTGAAATACTGCCTGTACTATATGTCTATACATGTACAACTCGCTTGTGAAATATTTTATTCATTCCTTCAATATTTTTAGAGTTTATTCAGGAATTTTCCTGAGTTAAACACCAAATTTCATCGTTATCTGCTGCTCCGTGACGTTCTAAAACGTCATCGTTTTTGTCGTTTTCAATAAGGACTACCTATTTTTTCAAGTTGATTTCTTTTCAACTCAGCAAAATATAAAGCCAATATTTGGTTTACAATCGATGTAACAATTTTTAATTTGAATTTCTAGATCGTTTTTCGTTTTTGCTCCAATTTACAATAAATATGACTACAGACATTAAATAGTATATTGTCTGTAACTTAATAAATTTTGACCTGCTCCGCGATCCGATTTTTGCAGTTTTAAAATCTTGATAAGTTTTGAATAAATCGTAATATTTTGGACAAAATTAATACACATCATTTGGATTTACGGTAAAAATATTTCTACCAAATTTGGATAACATATGACGTCAAATAAAAAAGATATGACAGTTGTCCACGAACTTTTCGAACAACCCTCGTATTAATTAATGCTTGATATTGCGATTACTTAACTTAGCTGAATTCTTTCGCAGTGGAGGATTCATTTGTTGGACGGGGCTATTGCATATCTTTGTGGATTTTATAAGGACAGATAAGAAAGAAATCCTTGTGAAATATCTTGCTAAAATACTGCTTTTTAGTTCGCATGATGATAGGAATTTTAAGGTACAAGTATTAACACATATTTTATTTAATCTTATTTTAAAAAATATACTGTATATATAAATATATGCAAGAGTCTGCTGTGGTACAGCCCAGATCCTTTGAAGCTTGAATTCAACCGCATGACAAATTGTTGTAGTCTATAGAATTTCCTCCCCTTTTGGATTCACTATGCATGACACACATTGACACTTATCCTCCATAAAAGAAACTTTATGTTTAGCCACTGTCAAAATGCATGGATTCAGGATTTTATATGTCAGGCACAGTTCTTGATACCCATCCAAATTATTATCAAGAAAGCACAAGTTTCAGTATTTGTCTTTAATTTGATTTTGAAGTTTTATTTGTTTGCACAAGTGCTTTCAGTCTGAATTGTATGTGTGATATTAGAAAGAAAGGGTTTAAGCTAAGGTAAGGTGCATCATTTGTGATATTTGTTGATTTTTAGCTCTACTGGTCAGAGACCAGAAGAGCTTATGCAATAGTAATGCGTCCGTCGTCCGTCCGTCTGTCTGTAAACAATTTTTCAAAATGCTACTCCTCCTACAGTTTTGGTCTGATTTCAATATAACTTGGCACACAAGTAGACTACACTAAGATACACAATTCTGTATATCGGTTTAAAATTTCGATGAATGGTGTTGCCGTGGTTACTATAAATAGAATTTTTTGTAAAATACTGTTAAAATGCTACTCCTCCAACAGTTTTGGTCTGATTTGAATATAACTACACACACAAGTAGATTATACTAAGATACATAATTCTCTCTATTGGTTTTTAATTTCGATAAATGGTTTTGCTGTGGTTACTAATATAGAATTTTTTGTAAAATACTTTTAAAATGCTACTCCTCCTACAGTTTTGGTCTGATTTCAATATAACTTCACACACAAGTAGACTACGCTAAGATACATAATTCTGTGTGTCGGTTTTTAATTTCGATGAACGGTGTTGCTGTGGTTACTAAAAGTAGAAATTTCTGTGAAATACTTTCAAAATGCTACTCCAAAAACAGTTTTAGTCTGATTATAATATAATTTGGCATGCAAGTAGACTACACTGAGATACATAGTTATCAGTTTTGTGTTTTGGATTTCGATGAACGATGTTGCCATGGTAACTAAAATTGAAAATTCTGTAAAATTTTATTTAAAAAGGCTTCTCCCGCAGTTGTAGTCTTATTGCAATCTTGCCACAAAGAGACTTAATCAAGGACCATTATTCTATTTATTGCTTTTGCAAAGTTTATGTCCCAACTGCTGCTTTTCTCTTCCTTTATTATAAGTACAAATCAGTAGAGGTACAGTCTTGACAGAGACTTCTGGGTTTTTAGCTCTACTGGTCAGAGACCAGAAGAGCTTATGCGATAGTAATGCGTCCGGCGTCCGTCTGTCTGTGTGTCTGTCCGTCTGTCTGTAAACAATTTTTAAAAACGCTACTCCTCCTACAATTTTACTCTGATTTCAATATTACTTGGCACACAAGTAGACTACACTAAGATACATAGAATAGTGCATCGGTTTTTGATTTCGATGAACAGTGTTGCCATGGTTACTAAAAATAGAATTTTCTGTGAAATTCCTTTACAACGCTACTCCTTCCTCAATTTTGGTCTGATTTCAATATAACTTGGCACACAAGTAGACTACACTAAGATACATAGAATAGTGCATCGGTTTTTGATTTCAATGAACGGTGTTGCCATGGTTACTAAAAATAGAATTTTCTGTGAAATTCCTTTCAAAACGCTACTCCTTCTACAGTTTTGGTCTGATTTCAATATAACTTTGCACACAAGTAGACTACACTAAGATACATAGAATAGTGCATCGGTTTTTGATTTCGATGAACGGTGTTGCCATGGTTACTAAAAATAGAATTTTCTGTGAAATTCCTTTAAAACGCTACTCCTTCTACAGTTTTAGTTTGATTTCAAAATAAGTTGGCACACAAGTAGACTACACAAAGATACATAAAATAGTGCAATGGTTTTTGATAAGTACAAACCAGTAGAGCTACAGTCTCGACAGAGACTTCTGGTTTTTTTTGACCACTAGTACTGTAGACCTGGAGAAAGCACTTATACAAAAATAACACTAGGTATACACATGGGTACGTGGAATATGTTCATCCTGGGTTCTACAAATAATTTACTCCCATGAATAGATTTTCATGTTTACAGCATCGTTAATGGTATCAGTTGCTTTTTTGCTTCACAGTTGAAAAATTGTAAAAATCCAGTAATGTTCTTCATAAATCAATGCTCTGAGCTTCATATTCTATGTTAGGGAATGGTAGGGGTAATTGCTTTACATGTAGCTTTTCATGTTATGATATTTGAGTTTGACAATATCTGCTAAGTGTACTAGCAGTGCTAGATTTTTCACATAAACATACAATTTACCTTGTAGACACTTGTACACTCCTTTGATTTTTTATTTCAGATTTTGACAGATCCCACTTCTGGAAGTGGACCTACTTTAGCAGCTATCTGCAGTTTACGGCAGCCTTTACAGTTATAGTGGGACTACTTACGTGGATATTTCTAGACAATATGTACTTTGTAGAGACTATCGGCTTCCTTGCCATATTTGCCGAAGCAATGTTAGGTGCTCCCCAATTCTATAGGAACTTTGTTAACAAGTCTACACATGGCATGAGGTAGGTTAATTGGTAATTGCTGTAAACACAGGCACTTAGGGCCTGGCCCCCCCCCCCTCCCCCTTTCCATTTTTTTTCTTTTTAAATCACTTTTTTTCTATTTTGATAGTCTAATAAGCACTACTTGATATCGATAATGTAACCCATTTGTCTCTAACCAGTTTTTAAATAGATCATTTTCGACTGATACTTTGAAAATATAGAGACAATCAGGTTACATTATGGATAACAAGTAGTGCATATTAGACTAACAAAATGGGAAAAAGGTGTGTAAATCCTAGATTTAAAAATAAAATAATAAAATGGACGGCAAAGGGGGGGGGGGGGCTGTGGCTGTAAATGTATAGTCAATAAATATTATATACATGAGCATTTATTATTCAGTAGCCAATATTTTTCATTGGATTACATAGGGGGTAAAATATTGAAAAATATGAAAAATGCAAATTTAAATGAAGGTGATTCAGGTGAGCATTGTGGCCCATGGGCCTTGTTTTTTTTTGTTTTTGTTTTTGTTTTTGTTTTTTTTTAACTGTTTAACAAGAGATTGTCCCATGTCTTTGCAGTAAAAAGATGGTAGCTATGTGGACCTGTGGAGATTGCTTTAAGACAGGCTATTTCATCGTCCGTCAAGCTCCGGCCCAGTTCTGGATCTGTGGGATGTTACAAGTGGGAATCGACATTTCCATCTTCCTACAGGTCTACTGTTACAGGAACAAGGCAGCCATTAGTTGACGGGGAGAAGCCATTAGGATGCTTTATCACAATGAATCCATATTTCACAAGTGAACAATCATTTGACTCAAAAATATTTGATAGTGTGTATATATGTTATTTTAGATTTTATTTTATGTCTCTGTGTTCCTTTTTACTTTTTCACTTCAAAACCATTTTACTTTGTTTATAAATCCTTGATTTAAAATCCACATTGTTTGTTTTTGGTACATAACTATGCATTTAATCAACACCAAAATCTCTTCATTATACAAAGAAACTTAAAAAATTAATCTCAATATGAATATGAATGTATGTTTTGATGTATTCATAATTATTGTTTTTTATTTTATGAATATATAGATGTATTAATTTCAAATTCCAATGTTTGATAAGTGCTTTTACTTTCCTGTGCATATGTAAATTGTTCAGGGTTAATGTGCCAGAAGTTTACACAGTAGAGCATTGCAAATATGGAGGGTCCAAACACATATCAAGTACATAAATGCAAATAGTACTGGTATGTTTACAAGTGTATTTTTTTCTGTGGGAAATGTAGTCTCCATTTTATTTATATTAGTCCTTTCTTTGTTGTATTTTATTTGTAATTTAATGAGTATAAGGATAAAATTTCATGAACACATCCTATTAACAAACAGGAAATCTATTAAAGTCTTAGAAATAATTAAGAGTGGTGATAAAGTTGCATGGGATTGTTTTCAAAATTGGCCATAATGCTCATTGCTTGCACATTCCCTATGGTTTCAGAAAGAAAAGGGTATAAAGAAGATAGCTTTTTTAATTGCTTTATTTAAATGCTTTGAAGATTGTTTGGTGGCACAGTATCTTACAGCTTAATAGTTGCAACAAAAAAAAATAAATTGATAAAATTGTAGTATAGTCCATTGTGTATTTTTTACAATATGAATTCAGTTTAGTGTAATATTGGGTACAGATTCAGTTTTTGTCAAATACTGTATGTGTACTATATGCTAATGTTTTTTTGGTCCCCTGCTTTTGCAAAAGTGAGGGAACATTAAATCTCATTTGTCAGTCAATCTGTCCATCTTGCAGTCTGTCCATCTGTCACAGAGTCTTTATTTAATCTTGCATGGTCATAACATTTGAATGAGAAGAGAAAGGGCTTACTTATTTCACGTGTAAATTACCTGTGACAAGACCTTCCAAATATACTACGATTTTTGACCCCCATGACCCTGACCTTGAAGTTCAACCTACTTTTCAAAAATTTTAACATTAAATTGTTCATAACTTTTGAAAGAGAAGCATGCTAGGATTTGATCTTGACCCTCATGTTTTACATACTTATTTTCAAAATTTTCAATATGATGATTATTTTTGAAGGACATGATGGGACATTCATATTTGACATCCCATCCACTAGCTAGGACACAGAAAGCAGGGGACCACAATTCTTTGAATTTGCTAGGTTGTTGTTTTTTTGTTTGTGTTTTTGGATTCACTGACTATTAACCAGATGTTTTGATACAAAAAAGGTACTTAATTGTTTTAAAAAATCTAAATGAATTGGAATGATATTTTAAAAAAATTCTTGCTTTATATAATGCGATATATTGATATGATTTTTTAAAAATCCAAAAATTGAATCAGTATAACCCTGTTTGATGAATGCACACATATTGGGGAAAAGTTTTTAAAACTGATCGTATGATAAAGGATTATCTACCTTTTTCTGCAGAATTCTGTCTCGATTTTTTTATTAAAAAATATCTTCATACTTGTAAAGTCAATACAACAAATTTGTATGAATGATTGTTGATTTGTAACAAAGTTCTAATGTTTTGCTTAGTTGCAGATGACTTTAATATATAAAACATACTCTGCAGCTTGATGACCTGTTAAGGAGTCTGAAAGGGGGTGTAAATTGTTTTGTTCAATTATTCTATATGCATTATAAAATAATATGAAATAAATATTTTAATTGGACTTTTCTTATGTTATATTTTTTATAATCACATTTACCCCAAGTTGTCAATTTCTTTAAATATCTGATTTCAAAGAATATATAGTGTGTGCCAGAAAGATATGTTGTAGCATGAACGCCTTCTGTTTTAGTCGGGTTCGAGATCCCCAAAAAACGAAAAATGTAAACAAGGAAGTAGAAAAAGTCAGTTTCTTCCTGGTTTCTGGCATGATTTTTATCACTTTCCTCTAGAAAAATGACGACCATTTACGAAACCTTTAAGGAATTTCTAATTGGTAAGCATTGTGAAATATCCCACAAAGTAATTAACTGAATTAAGCTAATATATAATGATTACTCGTGCTAATTTTTGTAGATGATAAAAGTTTCGCGAGTTACACCAAAAGGCTAATAAATGTTGACTGCATTGCATGATGTCTTGGAATTCTGGTGAATCCCATCGTCGCAAACCACGGTCAAAATGTACGATCCTCTCCCATTCTGGAGACAGCTTTATGCGGGCTCCGGACCGTGGCTTGAGACGATGGGTGAATCCCGGCAACTGGGGATTACTCCATTCAAAAATGAAAATAAATGGAGATAACGAACACTATACAAGCTCAAAAGTCAATTTTAAAAAATACAAATCAGTAGCAGAGCAAACACAGTCCTCTAAAACATCAGTGGTGGGATCAGGTGTCATGGAGGAGTGAGCTTCCCTTGTCAAACGACCACACCCACTGTGTGTTACTTATTATATGATCGTGAAATGATGGGAAAATCCATGGAATAGGATAAAATTTATTTCCAAATAAATACCCCCAATGGGCATAATCATAAAATAATCACAGCTAACATATAAAAATGTCGGTCAGCATTTGACTTAATGATAGACTGTTATAGCTAACAAATTAAGTCATTGTATAGACATATAACTTGTGAAACGATGACTTTAAACGAGATTAATATATTTCTGTTTCATCAACTTGTTTGTCAGTAACTTACCTCATTTTAGAAATAGTGCATACCTAGAGCATGCTCTTGCGTATCGAATCAACTGAGAGGTATAAACGCCATATGCAGGTGATAAAGGTATGATATTAAAATTTACTGGCAACAAAGTTATTTTAACCGTCGTATACAATTCATATCAATGAAAAGTATCAACAAGTATCGAGCAATTAGAGTTTTATTATGATTGACAATGCATGATTATGTTCATCAACTTCTTGCTTCTTTTAGGCTAAATATTGCCCAGCTTTGATGTTACATGTATGTATATCTAGTACATAATTTGTCCAAAATATCAGACGTTTTCCAGATCCTTTTTTTTTTTTACGATTTTGATATTTTAAAATATTGATATATTGTAAAATATCAAAACTTTAAAAAAAAAAAAAAAAAAAAAAAAAAATAAGACCTGTTAAACGTCAGATATTTCAGAATATTATACTTTCATGTAAATTACTTGAACCTGATTCGTCGAGAAACATTTGTTAAAAAGCACTATTACCCGCTGAATAATGAAGCCACGCCCTCCTGCGTAGCAACAGTCAACATTGCTTGACGACGGGTGGTATTCCAAAAAATAGCGACTGCACAGAATTTATGCGCGCACGGTTCACTATTATAAATATGTATTTGTATAAAACATTCAGTATAATATAATAAATATTGCATGTAGTTGAGTGTAACATTGAAAATTTTCACCCCTCGAAAACCATTGTCAACCTCGGCTGCGCCTCGGTTGACAATGGTTTTCTTGGGGTGAAAATTTTCAATGTTACACTCAACTACATGCAATATTTATATAATAGAGCTTTTTAATGAATGAAAACAAGAAATGATATAGGTCAGTTCGTATCTTGACACACAGGTAAAAATATTGATGTTTCTTTTTTTTTCCTGTATCGAATATTGACACTTCCCTCTTTACATACTACCCACGGATACATCATGACCAGGTGGAAATTCGGGCTTTTTCCCAGGCTTTCAAAAAAAGGCCATACGGGGAGGGTATAGAAGGAACACTTCTTACCTAAACAAGATTTTTTTTTTTCATAGAAAAACACGTTTCCTTTTGTCTCTGATGTATTTAGCAGCTTTTTCAGTAATTTTTAAGAAAAAGATCTAGAAACATTTATTTTAAATATATTGATAATGAACATTTGTTCTTTTAGCAAAATAACTTTGAAGATTTGTTTTTCAAAAAGGGGTATTTACATAAAATTAAGGCCCTTTTATTTCAAGAAAAAATACCGAAAACAAGATTAGCTGTTGAAAGGAATTATGTCAGCTGAACTCACGTATCCCTAGCAATTATTTTGAAAGTTGTATGCATTTTAACTACACTTGCTTACGTTGACATAAAAAGTACAACTCTGTTTTATTTAATGATGACATTAGATGGACAAGGAAAGGAAATCATCTGAAATCCAAGTCAAATCAGCCCCCCCCCCCCCCTTCCCGATTCCCCGCGGTCCTGGTCAATAACTCGTACTTAATGTTCATTAGTCAAGGAAGTTCAAAATATGAAGACTCTTGTGCCATAATTTTGGAATAGGCTTGACTAATCTATTAATTAAATGTGATTTACTGTGATTAAACAGCTAATTAAAATTTAACCCCCTCTCTCTTTCTCCACCATTATATATAACGCATGTATCTTGACTGCAGATGTGGAGAAGTTTCTAGTAGAAACTATTAAGAAAGAATCCTTGTCAAAGTCCTCCAAGGATCACAAACAGACAATCCTTGACAAGATAGGGAGACTGAGGGACGAATTCCCCCAACTAACCCCGGAAAAACCAATCGATGACACCAAATCAGGTAAAGCTTACACACATCGATACATAATCACATAAATCTGTTTACTTCTATAACTTGAATTAATTAGAGACTTGGTTTGAATTTTTACCCAGTCTGAATTTCTGTGTAACTTTCACTTACAAACTTCATTCGTAAATAACGGAGCACATATTATATATTAGCTATATAAAAAAAAAAAAACAAAGTGGCACTTAGATGCAGTGTACTGTTAAGTTGTATCAGCCGTATAAAATTGTATGCTGCTGTTAGTCTAAGCCCTGATAATTTTGAGGTTGAAATAAAAAAAAATATGTAAGTACTGTAGATGTTATAACATTCGTTAAACTTTTTGATGCAATTTATGATGTTTACTCTTGTATATAAAATATAGTGTGGACATAAAAGAGCAAAAATAAAGATTTTTTTTTAAATTAAAAATAAAAGGTAATTAAAAAATTCAGTCATCAAAGTACAATATTATGAAAGGATTATTTAACTTTAAAAAAAAAATTAAGTATTAATTCCTGCAGGAATTGTTTAAAAATTATACTTTATTGATTTATTAAAATGTGTGAAATTCTTATAGATAATTCTAATGGTTCAGATTTATGTATCAAGCTGATTTTTGTTTGTCTTAAATACAAACTTGAATTGCGTACATCACCAGTTACCGTACAAGTACAGTGTACTACTTTACATGAACTCGAAATAGATAGGTCATATATATACAAACGATTGACACACCTGTAAGGTTTCAAAATAACCAGCCAATCACGGGGCATTTAAATTTGGAATGCTAAATATAGAACAGGGCAACACAGGTATATAAGCCTAACAGCGGTTAGCAATTGCATAAACAAATAGTCAGCAGATGTCTTTGTGTTGTTTGCGACCCAAGAAAGAATTTTCCGAAGTTGGAATGGCGGAAGTCAGGAAGAAACTGGTGATCGTTGGGGATGGATCTACGGGAAAAACGTGTTTATTGATGGTGTTCAGTCGGGATCAGTTCCCTGACGTGTACATTCCTACAGTGTTCGAGACCTATGTTGCAGACATTGAAGTGGACAATAAACAAGTGGAGCTGGCGCTGTGGGACACGGCGGGTCAGGAGGACTACGACCGACTCCGCCCTCTGTCCTATCCCGATACTGACGTCATTCTTATGTGTTACTCTATAGACAACCCCGACAGTCTGGTCAATATCAGGGAGAAGTGGACCCCCGAGGTCAAACATTTCTGTCCCAACGTACCCATCGTTCTGGTGGGAAATAAAAAAGACACCCGAACTGACCCGGAAGTTATTAAGGAACTGGAGCTGGAGAAGAAGGAGCCAGTGAAAGCCCAGGAAGGACAGGCTATTTCGGAACAAATCCGCGCTTTTGCGTTTATTGAGTGTTCCGCGAAAACGCAGGAAGGTGTTCGGAAAGTGTTCGAGACGGCCACGCGAGCGGCTCTACAAGTCAAGAAGAAAAGGAGAATCAAAAAGTGTAAAATATTTTGACATGATGTATTTTTTATTTAGTTTTAAAAACTTTCAGACTGTGATAGAATTTGCAGCAATTTCTGTGATATTTTTGTTTTGTATTTAACACTGAAAAACATGAATGTGTTCATAGAAAATTATAACGAAATTCACAAAGTGGTGCAATGTAGTCAAAGTAATTTTCATCTACCAGGTATTCCATCATTGATAATCTGTTAATGTAATTAATTTATTTTAATATTTATTTATTCATTTGTATGACTTGAGTGACTTGTTTTTGCAAGACTAGTGCATTTGTACATGTATGTTAACACGTCTTTAATTTTAACACACATGTAAAACGTATTTTTCATGAATGATAGATTTATTTCTATGTGGATATTAATTAAATAATAAACCAAAAAAGTATTGATGTTTTATTCAATTTTCATTTTAAAAGTGACGACAAGAAAATATTGACCTCTCCCTAGATTAAACAAAAATGTTGATATCACAGATTTAAATTTTAGTATCACAGATTTAAATTTTAGTAAAGAAGTTTGAAGAAAGTACAGTAAAACCTTGTTAGCTAGCCCTTACCAAAATACTCACCTTCTGGCAACATCATCGGGCATTATTGCCGCGATATTGTATCAACATTCTGGCAATACATTGCAGCAATATTGCGGCAATTAAATATTTAACAAAAAAGTGTTAATGTTTTTATATTGCAAATATTCGGCAATACTTTAAAAGTATGTAAATTAGATTTGCAGCAATATTGCCAGAAAGATGTTGCGGCAATGTTGCTGCAAAGCAATTGCAGTACATGTATTATTTCAGGTTTTACTGCAGCAATATTGGGGCAACACTGCAGTACTATAACTATATAAATTGGTATTAATAGAAAAATTATCTATCAGTCTAACAATTAACAAATTGTGCTGAGGAACATAAAAATCAATAGTATAATTGGCTACAGAGTCAGTAAGAAATAGCTACTTAAGCTTATACTATTCTTTGAAAAGATAGAAAAAATTTTGTTGAAAAAAGATGTGTTTTTGAAACAAGCGGCAACAAAGTTTGAAAAACCATTATTAGAATATATGTTACAGTCAAAGTCACAAGGTCATTGATCTTGGTGTCATTTGAAAGAACTTAATTAGTGGATTATGCATCCTAAATATGAAGTCTCTATCTCTTATAGTTCAAAATTATGGTGGAGGTTTAAAAAGGCTATTTTTAGCATATAGATCACAGCAGAGTTTACAAGGTCATTGACCTTGGTGTCATTTGAAAGAGCATAATTAGTGGAGAATGCATACAAATTTAAGGTTGCCATCTGTCATGGTTCAAAAGTTATGTCAAAGGTTCAAAAAATCTATTTTAAGCATATGGGTCACATCCAAGGTTCTTGTCAAAGACCTTGGTGTCATTTTAAAGACCTAAATTAGTTGAGTATGCATACTAAATATATAGTCTCTATTTCTCAAGGTTTTTAAATTATGGTGAACATTCAATAAAAAAAACCCTATTTTTAGCATATAGGTCACAGTCAAGGTCACAAGGTCATTGACCTTGGTGTCATTTGAAAGGACTTAATAAGTGGAGTATGCATACCAAATATGAAGTCTCTATCTCTCATTGGTTCAAAAGTTATCACTTATGGCAAAGGTTAAAGTTTACAAACAGACAGGACAAAAACAATATGCGCCCAAATCTATTTGGGCACATAAAAATGTGTATATAAAAAATATTAATATGCCACGGTGAAATGTCCAGCAACTCTGCATTATTTTTCAAATAACCTTAATTAGCTGCCTATATCAATAATGTATAATATATAGCTTGTTTGTAATTTCCAACATATATCATTATTTTCTTGCTGGTATTCAAATTTATGCAATAAATTAATTATATATGTTGAACTTCATGCATTTAATTGATTAACATGCATTCATCTTTTCCTGCAACAACGATATATATTAGACATACAAGTATAGTATACATGCATCACAAACACCAGTTGAAATACATATAATTCTTCTTATTTTATCTCCATACAATCATTCATCTAAAAAAATATGGTTTTGACTTACCAAGTTTGATATATCATGAAAACAGAGTATTATAATTCTTTCAAACGGCATGCATTGGAAACTGCTGAAATTCTTTTTTCTGGCTATTCCACATTATTCAGTCTTACTAGTCATCATGTCTAATCCTATTGTACACAATTAACAACTCCAATTAACTTGATACCATTCAATAATGAAGCAAAACATGCTTGCCTTTGAATTCCCTCCATTTTATTTAAAAAGAGGAAGTATATGACTGAGCATGCTCACAATTGCCTAATGGGTAATCCTAGATCTTCTGGCGACATTCTGGCAATACTGCCAGTAAGTTTTTTTCTGAGTATTGCCAGAATGTAAAGGTTGCCGCTAGCGGTGATATTTCACTAACCCAAAAAGCTTGTTTCTGGTGACAAAAATGTGTTGCAATGTTTTCAATATAGTATTGCTGCAATTTTTAAAGGGCTAGAATTTGATTGGACCAAAGGAAAACTACAAAATATTTGGGGTTTGAGATTTCAAGAGTAAAATACTTATAGAGTGAGTGTTTGGGACCCTAAAATAACTTACACATAACCATGGTATTGAAATTTAATACTGTATTTTTATTTAACCTCAACAAAATTGATTGAGAAGAGCTTATATGTTATACCCTCTTATTGTTGTCAGCCTTTCACACTTAAGTTTTTGGAGCAGATTTCTTTAAATTAAAGTACTCAATGTATGCCCTATATCAATCAGAGATGCATGGAAGATGCTTCTAGTATGTTTTATTGTACCACAAGATGCTGCAATTTCATGAATGATCATTTTTGGATAAGAGTGGGTGTCATTTCCAAGTACATTTTAACTATAAGCCCTATACTGAACTTACTTCAGGCTTGCTTATGCTTGTGATTTCACTTGCCTATTTTGGAAGAGTTTCAAGTATTAATTCTTAAGCCTTCTGTTGACTTTCATATTGATGCTGCATAAAGTTGCTTTGGATTTTTTATTTTTCATCTTGTTTTTTGGATGTAACTTACACCTCTACCAAGAAAACCTTACATGGATGATCAACAAGGGATTAAACTTACTTCAGATGTTGGATTTCAGTATTTGGAATGTGCAAGCCATATTAGACTAAGATTGCATGTGCCTTACTTATTATTAAAATAATATTTATTGAGATAAGCTTTGTGATCTTTGATTACCTATGCTTAAACATTATGTGTAATATCTAAAGATACTGCTGCTCACGGCACCTTAAGAAAACGGTGGACCTACAGATTGTCTTTCCTGGGTAAGCTGTGAGGCTGAAGGACCAGGGTTATTTATTTTTTTCATATTTTTATTTTAAAGGAATGTTGTAACAGTGGTTGGCTTATATATATTTCTTTTAAAGAAATTGAGGAACATGAAATAAAAGCCCTTAATAAGAGTTTCTTAATTTGATAAAAAGGAATCAGGCACTTTCTTCTTTTTTAGCATTTCAGCAGCGGGGCCTAATTAATCTACCTGCATATATGGGGTTATGAATTTCATAGGGCTGGAAGAAGGTTCATTTCAAATGTGCAAACTGATATCTTGCTTAATTACCACAATTCAATATTTCTCTATATTCCTAACATGAGGCATAACATTTTATCTTAAAGATATGATTATATTTATAACTGCATGTTTTTTTTTTTTTTTTATGTTTGTATGATTTATTGTGTATGGAACTTAAATAAAAAAGATTTATGTTCATCAGGGGAGAATTGCTGCTGTTGAGTATCACAATGTATAACGTAATATGTTTATGGAGGAGTGGTTAAAATTCCTCTGCTAGGAGAGATGATTTTGCAATTAAATTCCACTTATATCCATCATAAAATTTAAATCTTCAGCCAAATATGCTCCATACCAAGTTTACATTCTGTTGAAAATTGGACATCATTTTAGAAAAAAATCTTTTTTGCATGAGAGGGTTTCATCTCTCACAATGCATTTTGTGGTTCAGGGGACATATAAATCACTATTATATTTCTCAACACTCATAAAATTTCAATTAATTAAAAAATAAAAAATACTGTTTGTTTTAATTAGTTTTATAATAATTAAAAGGAATTATCTACATCAGGACTATTCTCAGTGAAACTCTAAATAACAATGTAATTGCAATCATCTCACTCAAAATATAATAGTAGTTGTATTATTATGCATGTAAATGAATCCATTCAATAGCAAATGTACAAAAAAGTATTTTTCAATTCCTTTTCAAAACAGAGATGGTCACTTGGAGTTTTATGCTCATCTAACTCCCCTGTTTGTATTTCACAGGTGACCTGAGTTTTACAGATGAATCCACAAGAACAGGAGGAAGTTCTAACGCTGAGGATGAGGACCAGTACGGAGATGCAAGTAAGAATGGCTGCTTTGTAAAATTGTGGACAGGAAAAAAAATAATAAAGTCAAACATGAATCATCTTTGAAAGGCAAATGAAGCTATTTACTTAAAAATCATTCATGTTAGATTGAGCATCTGGTCTCTTTGACCTACAGTTTTGATGTACATGTATTGGTTTTGTCATTTTAGACATCCCAGCTATTCCTGCCCAGGACCTAACAGACACATTCAAATGTGGATTCCTGGATAAAAAACAAAAGAAAGGTGAATTGCTTTATCTACTATTATGGCTCCATAATATTGTTCTGTTTTTATAACATGATAATTCTCTTTGACCAGGAAAACTGTTATTCAGTGGTCCTAAGCTACAGAAGAGATGGTGTGCCATTAAGAACAACATTTTCTATTACTATGAATCTGCCAAGGAGCGTAAGCAGCATGGAGCATTTTACTTGAATGGTTATACTGTGGAGGATGCCCCTGACGTCGTGGACAAAAAAGACGCCGCTCGACGGGATCTCGGATTCCAATTGGTCTGTCCCGCGAAAAGAACATACCAGGTAAAAGTTCTGATTTTCATTAACCCCCAAATATGTGGTTTATATGAAAAAATGTTTTCATTTATTTTAAAAAATTGTGTTTCTTGGTTTGGAGCTGAATTAATTTAAATGCTTGTTTTTTATTAGTTTGTGGCTCAGTCTAAGGAAGACTATGAAGATTGGAAGGTTGCCATAATGAAAGGAGCTCTTAGTGCATCCTCCAAGGATAATATACTGAGTAAGATACAGAGATACACATTCATTTTAAAAATATGAATTACTGGAGGTTTTAAAAGTTTACTTAATGTTTAAAAGAAAAAAGTGATACATGTATACATACATGTACATTGTACATGTAAAGAAAATTTCTAAGACAAAAATAAACATAAAAATTAAACAGAAA